ATTTTTCAGAGACCCCCTTTTTTCTGAAGGTCTACCTTGCAGAGTGTTGTCTTTTGCTTTACTCAAGACCTGGCAAATTGTAGGCCTATCGCATAGCTTTAATTCTGGGGCTTCTCTACCTTGTTAAATTGTCTTTTTCTAGAGTCATCAGAGTTATAAAATAAAAGCACAGAATGCCCAGTTAAATTTTTGATTATATATAAGTAATTTTTAATATAAGCATGTAAAATTATTGTTTCCTATATCCAAAGGCTGCTTCTCTTTCTGTTGACCCCCTGGTTTTGATAGAGAATATTCTCAATTACCTTCCTAAGAAAAGAAAGCATAAGAAGCAAACTTGCTGAGTTCTTTAAGTGTCCTTTTTTGTCTCTTGATCTTTTCTTTTCTCTCTTTATATTTGATTGATGGTGTAGCTATGGAACGGTAGCTTGAAAAACAATTCCTTTCAGAAATGTGAAGACATCTAGCCTGGCCAATGTGGTGAAACCCCATCTGTATTAGAAATACAAAAGTTATCCATTTACATTCCTCATATATATGTCTGATACTACTCGATTGTCCATTACTAAAGAAAAAAGGACTGGGTTGTTTGGGTGGATATGCTTTGCTGCTGTGTTAGTTGGTCATCTTACCAAAAAGGCCTCTGCACCATGCAGGATGACGAGGCTGTGTTGACTGTCATGTTCCATTACAGAATGAATTGGTGGGAAGCTGGATGTCAGGCGCTGGCTTTCAAAATACCATGAAACAGGCTTTTGAAATTCATGGCCCATGGGCTCCATGTGGCCCAGGTTGGCATTCAGTGCAGCCCAATACAAAATCATAAACTTTCTTGAAACATTATGAGATCTTTTTTTCACAATTTTAGTTTTAGCTCATCAGCTATCATTAGTGTTAGTGGTTTTGTTTTTTTTTTTAATGTGTGGCTTATGACATTTCTTCTTCTTCCAATGTGGGACAGGGAAGCCAAAAGATTGGACACCCCTGCCATAAAATGAAAGGGTGTAGGCTAGAGTCCTGAATTTCACAAAAGCCCTTTGCTATCCTCAGAAGGTTCATTCAACAAATGGGGTATCTGTTTCTGCCTGGTTTTTTTTTTTTTCCTGAATGCTGGAATTCTAAGCATAGAGGTCTGGGTGAAATACAGTGGTTCTGATTTGCACTAAAAATCTGTATATAAACTTTCAATTAATCTCTCTGCTTTGGCTACATTTCTCACTCTCAACTCTGAGTCTAGCATGTTTCGTGATTTCCAACAGGCAAATTCTGTTCCACTGTCTCTATACCTCTGTATGGTGCATTCATTGGTTCAGCATATTTCAATATGCATCCCATGCTCCAAATATTGCTGAACTCTCCCATACAATTGTGAGCAGATCACATCCTCCACATTCTTATCTTGTGTGGTGAGGTTTACCAAAAAAGTACATTTTCTGATACTTTTGATATTTTATTCCACTGAGTCTCAGGAAAGAAGAAAGATAGGCTTAAGTGCTTGGTACACATCTTGAACTAGTAGTTTGCTGTTGTTTCTATTTTATTTCTTGATAGAAATATAATGTAAGTTAAATTATGACTTACTTCCTCAGTTATTCCCACAGAATTGCTCAGCTGCAACCACCACCATCTACTTTGCACCTAAAAAATCTGAGGTCCGCTGAAATTTGAGAATATCAGAGGAAGTGATAAAATGACTGTAGCTTTGTGCTGAAATACTAAGGATGATTCTAAGACTTACTTGAAAAAACTTTGAAATAAATCTTTTCAAAAACTTATTTTGGAATTGGTCCCATTCATTCCAAAACATCTGATAGGTGTCTAGAGTGGGCCAAGTATGAGGTTAAGTTCTGGCAAGGTAGGGATGTAAAGATGAATAAGGTATAAACCTTACCCTTGAGGATAATATAATCTGGTGAATAACTTGAGTTTATATAGCAGTTTGCAGTTTATAAATCAATTTTACCTCTGGTGAACTCTTGGCACTTACTGATTTACCATTCACAGTTTTAACTACCCACAAGGGACCCCAGTGATCCATGATATGTATAATTTATTCATTTGCTTAAGTACAAATTTGAATCACATGCACTGTGAGACTGTGTTGAGGATGTACTTGCTTGGGTGGTGAAATACTCAAGCTAACACTTGTAGATCTCAAAGTAGTAGCCTTGTACATATTTATTATGAATTTATAACCAGCTTCAGCCATTTGAAATCAGTGGGATGCAAACATAGAATGGGTTTATTTTTCTCATATCATTGCCTTTAACAATGCTCCTTCAGATCTTTCTTCTCACTTTGATATCTCGGGCAAATTACGTAGCTTTCAGACACTTTCTGTTAAAAGTTCAATGTAGTCCAATTTTAGATCTCAGTTTTATTTTTTCCAATCTACAAGCTCAGGTTTGACCCTGCCGAAGAACTTGCAGTGGGAGAGAGAACCTGGCCTGCTATTTTCTGTCTCCTCTCTTCCTTTCTGGTTCTAGCTCATTCATTATGCTGTGAGGGATGGAAGGAGAAGAAAAGGGACGATGCATTATTTTCCCGGCTACTGCCCATTCTTACTGAAGAAAACAGAACTGGGATGTTTCTGCGGACTTGCTTTGCTGTTGTTGTTGTCACTGTAGCTAGGACATAACTGAGCAGCCATGAACACTCACTGGGGCAGGCATCCAAGGGCTGACTCTCATGGGGTGCAGGTGGACATTTTCTGGGGAAGTCCTCACGGAACAGCTCTTTGATGTAAGTGATCAGCTTTGGTTTGCCCTCTTCCAAACCCCTTCAGCTATATCCATGGTGACTCACCTCCACAGTTTGTTTTTGTTCTTTTGAGTTGGAGTTTTTCCCTGTCACCAGGCTGGAATGCAGTGGCACAATCTTGGCTCACTGCAACCTCCACCTCCCAGGTTTAAGCGCTTCTCCTGCCTCAGCCTCCTAAGCAGCTGGGACTACAGATGTGTGCCACCATGCCTGGCTAATTTTTGTATTTTTAGTGGAGACAGGTTTTCACCCATGTTGGCCAGGATGGTTTCAATATTTTGACCTCATGATCCACCTGCCTTGGGCTCCCAAAGTGCTGGGATTACAGGTATGAGCCACCATGCCCAGCCACCTCCACAGTTTCTTAATGTCAGGTGAGGTACCACCAGGGAGACTCGAGCCCGTTTATTGACTCTGTATCCTATTATGATGAGGTGTTTTACTGCTGACCTCTTTCTGCCTCCCTGACTTTTTTTCAGTTCTCTCATGGTCTCTTTGGGTCTCATTTCTTCCTGCTGAAATGGGCATGAAAAGCTGACTAGCAGGACTAGCAGGTCTGCCACACAAGACATGTTCAGGCTGGGTGCAGTGGCTCACGCCTGTAATCCCAGCACTTTGGGAGGCCGAGGCAGGTGGATCATGAGGTCAAGAGATCGAGACCATCCTGGTCAACATGGTGAAACCCCGTCTCAACTAAAAATACAAAAAATTAGCTGGGCATGGTGGCGCGTGCCTGTAATCCCAGCTACTCAGGAGGCTGAGGCAGGAGAATTGCCTGAACCCAGGAGGTGGAGGTTGCTGTGAGTCGAGATCGTGCCATTGCACTCCAGCCTGGGTAACAAGAGCAAAATTCCATCTCAAAAAAAAAAAAGAGAGATGTTCAATTGGAAAATGAGGTGTTGGTTTACCCTTCTTACTGCATCTGTAGTCTCTATGAAAGATTCTTTTAGAACCCTCTATAACTTGGGATTTGGAAGAAACAACTCATCCTCTCCTCAGTGAGGATGGAAAGGAAAGTTCTATTAACTGCAATCATTGGTTGTATCCTGCCAACTCCACTATCTCCGATCCACCTCCCTCCCCACATCATTGGCTTGTGTAGACAGAAGTAGGAAGTGGGTAGAAGTGATTTAAGGATCTAACCCTAATTTCTTGTGGAAGACTTTCTTTATTCTTAGATTTGGATCCTACTTACCGATTTTGAGTCAGTAGGAAAGGTATTGCTCAACAGCCCATTCATTTTGTGCTATGCATGTAGTCACATTAATTGGGGAATTGACAAAGAGCTAGGAAACATTATTTTTGAATATTTAGGGCTGTGTTTCTTAAGATAAGGTTTACAGAACACTGTATCTGAATCCACTGGGGAGTTTAGAAGAAAGGATACTAATTCCTGGGCCCCATATCTAAATATCTGGACTCCTGGGGGTTGGGAAAGAGTCAGGAATCAAGATTTTGAACCAACACTTCAGGTTTTACTTAGGCATGCTGAAGTTGGGCAACCACTTGCCTGAAATCCACTACACATTACTTAGGCCCTCCCAACACCTCTGTGAAGTAGATAGGAATAGTATTAGTTTCATTTTACTGATGAGAAGATTGGGATTCAAGAGTACCATGGCTTGCTAAATGGCAGAGTAATATACCACTCAAAACTAGTGATAATGAATATCAACCTGCCCCATTAGTCTGCTACTGGTTATAATTTTCAGCAGAGAGAAAATATCACTTAATTCATTAATGTTTTTTTGATTACCAAAGTAATATATATCCACTTTAAGATATCCACAAAAGCACAAAAATTAACTAAAATACAATCTCAACATTCAGATGTAATAATTTGTTTCTTCATGTTATATCTGTTTTATAAAATTAAAATCAAATTATATGTTAATACTTTTTAGTAATCTGCCTCCTAAAATTGATGGATTGTGAATTTCACCATCCATTAAATATGTTCTTTAACATTATTTTCAATGTGAATGTAATGTTCTACTTTATGGGTATACAAATCTATTTAACCACTTTCCTGTTGATGGATAGTTTGATTACTTCAACTTTTTACTATTAAAAAATGCTTTAAAGGTTAGGTACTTAAGGGAGGGGGGAATATATTTCAGCTGTTTAGATATAATGAAGCCAATTATTAAAGGTTATTTATCAAAAGTGTTCAGGGTCTGAAATGATATGGGACATTTCCATGGTCACTAAAAAGATTATTTTGTTTTCTTTCTTAACAGGAACAAGACCATTTTGTTTTACTTTAACCTGTTACGTTGTACCAGTCCCTCCGTGATGCTAAACCTACAGTGCCCTACCACACAGGTAAGGCAAAAGGTGACTCACTGATGGTGTCAGCCATTCCAAATACTCTTGGATAAAAAAATTCAGAAATTCTATTTGAGTTCTCCTTCTCTCTCTCTCTCTCTCTCTCTCTCTCTCTCTCTCTCTCTCTCTCTCTCTCTGTGTGTATGAATTATGAATTTCTAGAAGATGGGAAGACATAAATATGAGCTTATATTTGTTTCTATACAATCAAAACTAAGCAGAAATTGCAGCCCAGAGAAATGGAGATTTTTAAATCAAGATCAGCATTGTATTAGGAGTAAAGCTAGCTACTGCAACTAATAAACCCAAGTTTTTCAGTGACTTCACACAGTAACATTTATTTTTTGACCATATAACAGTACAAGGCAGGTGTCTGTGATCAGTAGGTACTCTCCTTCAGGGTCCTTCCATCTTAAGTGTGGCTTAAGCACTTAAGGGTGACTCTGCTATTCCTTAAATCCTCCCCATCATCTGCATCCAGGAACAAAAAGGACTTAGTGAGGATGAATAAAACACTCCTGCTCTTAAAAGCCTTGGATAAGAAGTTTTACACATTGCATTTCCACTCACATGCCGCAGACACAAACTGGTTGTAAGTGGTCACACCCCTCAAAGACCTAAAGACAGAAATATCATTTGACCCAGCAATCTCCTTACTGGTTATGTACTCAAGGTAACATAAATCATTCTGTTAAAAGACACATGCACGGTTATGTTCACTGCAGTGCTATTCACAATAGCAAAGACATGGAATCAACCTAAATGCCCATCAATGACAGATTAGATCAAGAAAATGTGGTACATAAACACCATGGAATACTATGCAGCCATAAAAAAGAACAAGGTCATGTCCTTTGCAGAGAATGTGTGAAGCTGGAGGTCATTATCCTTAGAAAACTAAAACAAGAACAGAAAACCAAATACCACATGTTCTCACTTATAAATGAGAGCTAAATGATGAGAACATATGGACACAAAAATGGGAACAACAGACACTGGAGCCTCAGAAGGTGGAGGGTGGGAGGAAGAAGAAGATCAGGAAAAATAACTAATGCATACTCAGCTTAATACCTGGCTAATGAAATAATCTGTTCAACAAACCCCCATGACACAAGTTTACCTACGTAACAAACTGGCACATGTACCTCTGAACTTAAAGGTTATAAAAAAGAAATTTAAATGTGTCTAATCCCACAAAAATAGGTTATACCCAGATTCAAGGAGAAGGGAAATGAGCAATGTAGCTGTGAGCTGAGCTGCCGTTTCTATTCCGTGGAACAAATGGAATAAGAGACACAAACTTCAATGAATAGTTAAGTGTATCTTCTATGGTCTACCTCTCTGTCCTCTAGAATACCCTTCTTCCCACATGAGAACCCAGAGTCTCATGTAGTACTGTCTTTAACTCAAAGCCTGGGATCTATAGATGATACATAGTTCTCTTTATCAAGTCTTGACACTGTATGTAAAATGAGTAACGAGGACAGAAAAATTAGAATTACAAACTCCCATTTGGAAAAGACGGAGTGAGAAATACACAGCCATTTCCGGATCGCAGCAATGGAGAACAGTCTTTTATTCCACCTGGATTGTGTTATCTGAGAACTCCCTCATCCATTGCTTCCTATACCTCTTTGCTTGGCCACCTGGGGGGTAATTTTCTGTCCTTTAGCCTCCAGACCACGCTATTGCTGAGCACTGGAAAGTATGCTGTGTTGAGGGCCACATTGCTTTGAAGCTCACTTCTTGTTGTGCAAGTTTCATATCACAAATATTATTTTAACAGTGAAAGGCTTCTTAAGGCTAGCTCTTTTTAAAAATTTCTTTTTAATTTCTTTTTTTTTTTAGCATTATAGTTACCTCAAAAACTTAGTAGTAGACTTCCAACTTTTTTGCTTCTTCTTGGTTCCATGTGCCGGTAACTATACCCAAACCTGGTCCCTAGGATTAGCTTGTAAATCTGCTTTATTTCTTTGTTTCCTCATTTCCTCAAAGACTTTTGAAATCTTACTTCTTCTGAGACAAAAGCCCACTTGGGATGTTGGTATCTTAGTTCTGTGACCACTTCTACCCATTTCCCTAAAGACAAACCCTTGACCTTGTCAATATTAATAATTGCTCCCCTTTGTAATATCAATTTCTCTGATCATCTCAATTCCTCTGACATTTCAACTCCAATAATTCTTTTACATTCCTGGCACCTGCAAACCACTGGTCTTAACCCATCCAAAGTATCGCCCAGTTCCTTCACGTTGGCATCTCCCTTCTTACCTGACTTAGATTCCACAGTCTCTGAGTGAAATCACTCCCTTATACACATTCTTAATTCCATTGTTCCCTTTCACTTAGTTTTAAGTCCCTGGCAAAACCTGACTGTAAAGATAGCTCTCGGCCTACTCCCTGCCTGAACCCAGGCAGCTATGTGTTGTTGGAGAAAATATGCAACAGTCATTTAAATTTAGGACCTAACTTCAAGTGGCCCATTAATGCTGTTCCTCAACCAAACCACAGACCCTTGTCCATTCTATAGCATACTGCCCTAGAAAACAATTTCACACCTTTTCCTCTCACCTGGAACCTCCAAGATCTCCTTCCCAATCTCTATACCAGCCTCTGACTTTGCTTCCTGTCTCACCAAGCAAGTACAAGCATTCAGAAGACAACTTTTAAAATCTCCCACCCTGTTATCCATTTGCCTACCTATCTTCATGTATGTCATATACTCATTCTGCCTTCCCTCTAGTTCCCCGTGGGTGAACTGCCTGTGCTTCTAAGACCAGCACATCCATTTGCCCATGAAATCTCATCCTCTCGCATACTTAAGCACATCACTTTGGAAAGGTTATTTTTTTCTTTTATTATCATTTTTCCTTCTCTACTAAATTATCTCCATCAATATACAAAGTGTATGGGTTGATCATTAATCCTCCTCAAGTATTTCTGCAGATGTTACCTTCTTAATGAGGCTTCCTTGACTGTTTATTCAAAATTATAATCCCACCCAGCCATTCCTCTCTATCTCTAGTGTCCTTTCTATCATTATTTACCTGCCATCTTATGGCATCTTATTCATTTCCACCTATTACCATCTTACAATATTTTACTTATTTATTATTTGTTTCCTGTCTCTTCCTACTAGAAGAAAAATTGCTTAAGGGCAAGTACTTTTATCTGTTTTGTGTACTGCTGTTATTTCTTTCACCTTAACAATTTTTCCCCTTGACCCCACATCCCCCTCCAGCTATTGGTCTATGTCTATGTGCCTCTTTTTTTCAAAATTCTTCAAAAGAATAGTCCACATTCATCTATCTAAATCCTTTTCTCTCACTCTCATACAAGCTTTTATCCCTACTTCAATTTCCCCTAAACAATACCATCAACCGCAACATTATTAAACTAATGGTTACTATTAAATCCACATTTACTTGATCTAACAATAGTATTTAATCAATCTCTCCTCCTTAAAATATCTTTTTACACCTGGCTTCCAGGTCACAACATTCTTCTATATTTTCTTCCAACTCTCTGGCTACTCCCATCAGTCTCCTTTGATGAGTTCTCTTCATCTTTCCAACGTCTTTTAAACATTGCATTTCCCTCCCACAAGAAACTTAGTCCTCTTCTAAGTCTGTATTTACTTCTTTGATGATCTCACCTGGTCTCCTGGGTTTAGTATCATCTACATGCTGACCTCTGAAATTTACATCTCCAAATAAATCTGCTCCCTGAGCTCCAGACCTTTCTATCCAACCACCCATGCGATATCTCTATGTGGATATTTAGTTGGCATCTCAAATTTAATATGTCCACAACTGAATTCCTAATCTGTGACTTTATCCCTAAAATTGTGCCCTCCCCCAGTGTCTTCCCTGTCTCAATTATTGCCAGCTCCAAACACCTTGATTTCTACCTTATCCTTGATTTCTCTCTCTTTCATACCCATGTTCGAGCTCTCCTTAGGTCTCCCTCCAAAATATACCCTGAACCAAACTATTTCTCACCACCTCTTCCCTAGCTCAAGGAGCTAATCATCTCTTTTTTAGATTAGTTGAAGGATCTCCTGACTGATCTTTCTGCTTCTGTCCTTGCCCCCTTCCCTTTGTCTTCTCTTTTCCGTCCAGTAGCCAGTGTGGTCCTCTTAAATATAAATCTGATTATGTCTCTTCTTTGCTTAAATGCCCCAATAGCTTCCCAAGTTACTCATATGAAAAGCCAAAGTCCTAACAATGGCCTGTAAGATCCTTCACTGTCTGACCCACTCTCTGACCACATATCCTATTCTACTCCCTTTGCTCACTGCACTTGGGTCATACTGGCCATTTGTTGTATTGATACTTGAAAGGATCCAGGAACTCTCCTGCCTCAGATACTTAGACTTTACTGTTCTCCCTACCTAGAGAATTCTTCCTCCAGATGAACGTATGTCTTGATTGCTCATCCTGTTCAAGAATTTCTGCAAATGTTACCTTCTTAGTGAGACTTCTTTGACTATCTCTTTAAAATTAGAATCCCACCCAGTCACTTTATTTATTTATCATCATATACCATCTTATTTACTACTATTTATTACCATCTCATGACAAACATTTTGCTTACTTATTATTTGTTATCCGTGTCCTCCTACTAGAAGACAAATTGCTTGAGGGCAAGGATTTTTATGTGTTGTTCACTACTAATTCCATCCTCAGCACTTAGAACAGGCTCAGAGTAGGGGATCAGTAAATATTTATTAAATGAATGAACAAAGAAGAGAATGAATATCTTCCTACTGCTAGTTAAGAATTTTCCCACTATATTCTACAAATATATCATTCCTATGATAAAACAAAATATACTTGCATATTATGCTTTTTTGTTGTTTCATGAATGATTTACTAGATCATCTTCTCTTCACAACAAATGTAGCATTTTAACCTTCAATGTAATTCACTCTCCCAGCCACCAAATTCTAATTTGTAATTGAGTGCTAAGCCTATCTGCATTAAAGATAAAAATAGTGATACAGAACTTTATGCAAAGTGCCCTTTGTGGTAAACAGAGAATCAGAACTGAGTCAGAATATATTTTAGCTGCTAATAATGCAGACCTGCATTTAGTCTTCCAGACAGTGGTGCATCTCCTGATCTAAGCCTTATTTTTATGCACTATGTTCTTGTTAACTGCCGACATGGTACAGACATGTGTCACAAGCACTTAAAGGAGAGACTGTGATCAATCGGCACACCCAACCTCAATGTGACCTTCATTTTGACTAATTATATGTTGATTGCTACTAATCAGCACCCTATTTGAAATGAACAAATTGGTCTGATAGAGGAAGAAAGTAAAATGCAGTTGTTGTATTGTTTTTTAACAGCTCATTTGTGTCTAGAATGAGAGTTGATGTGATTCTCCTTAACAAACCATGTTTTATCATTTTAATTACTTTCTTTTATGTGTTGCATACACAGCACTTTTCTATGTGTAGTATACATTGTTTGTGTGTGTGCTTTATAAATACAGAATCATTACGTTCTAAATTCAGAAGTATCTACCATCATTTAAAGCCTGTGAAAGCATTAGTGCTTTTAGTACTCACTTTTATAAATCCATTTAAGTGTAACCAGTAGAAGTAGTTCAGTTGTCTTTCAATGTCAAACGAGTCAATTGTCGAAGTCTAAATGTCTGTAAAATATCTCCTAATATGTTAATGGTTTATTCAGCTTAGCTCTAATCAGAGTGAACTTTTGACATTTGCATTGATAATCATCTTAACCTTCTTCTAAAAGAAGTGGATGTGTTGCATGCTGTGAATGTCCCTAAATAGTTCTTCAGCTTTCTTAGAAAGATACCTATGAAGCCACTAGTATTTTCTCTTAAGGTACATGCATGTGCATATGTGAGTGTGTGTGTGCGTGCACATGTGTGGATGAGAGACTGAGAAAGAGGAAATACATGGGGAGGGGAGGATGTGGAGACGGGTTGTTTGCCCTGCCAAAATTTCTAGAAGGAATTGGACTGCTGTTGCTTCGAGACAATATTAACTGTGAGATTTGAAGCATATGCATTTCATTATTCTCTTGCTAACTTAGCTGTAGGGCCCATACCGAATGCCTTTGTGCATAGCAGGAACATAACCCAAAAGATGGAAAGGAGATGTCAGCTAAGCAGCAGTGTTTTACCTAATTGCCAATGGGTTGAGCTACAGGTTGGCCAGTGAGAATAATTACTAGAGCAGGGAGATGGAGCAAGTCAGGGCTGAGAAGTATTTCAGATGGAGGAACTGAAACTGATAGACTTGAAAGGGTTAGCTGCAGTTCACATGGCTTCATGTGACTTTTGTTGTTTATTGCAAACAACAGCAAAACCAATAGAGTACATCTCTTCTGATTCTGCCTTCCCTCTGTGGAGTCACTATTGGATTTCAGGGGTGGCTTCGTGGACTAGCACAGTGACCTGGTTTGGCACTAATAGGCCCCCAAAGTTTATTAATATAAAATAATTGCAAAGATGATCTCTCTGCCCACATGTAGATGGTGCTGGTAAAAGACCATACTGTTGATTGATTGTGGCAAATAGCCCTGATCTGTTAGTTTCTCATGGTGCTAAAACCTCAGTTACTTTTTGAGAATTGTGTTTAAGAATTCACTGGCACTAAAAATTATTAGTGGCATAAGTGTTCAATATTCAGAGAATTTTAAATCATCATTTTATTCATATTTAGGAAAGGAAGGAAGACTTTAACCCTGAATATATATGCATTACACAAGCATACTCTAAAATCATAAAGTATTTTATTAAAGGTCTATCACTGTCCAGTGGTAGTAGTCACACAACCACATATCTGATAAAATGGCATAGAACTACACACATACACAGACACACACAAACAAGTGTATAAAACAGGTGAGCGCTGAATAAGGTTAGTGGCTTCTAACTGTCTTACTCTGTTTAGTGTTGCTATAAAACAAATACCTGAGGCTGGGCAATTTATAAGGAAAAGAGGTTTGTTTGGCTCATGTTTCTGCAGGTTGTACAAGAAACATAGAGCCAGCATTTGCTTCTGTTGAGGGCTTCAGCTTTCTGCTTTCCACTCATACTGGAAGGCAAAGAGGAGCTGGCAAGTGTAGAAATTACATGGCTAGTGAGAAAATGAGAGGTGCCAGGCCCTTTTTAACAACAAATCTTGAGGGAATTAATAGATTGAGAACCCACTCATCACCACAAGAACAGGGGGCATCTTCCCTCATGAACCCCTCATGAACAGGGCAGATTTTCCCTGAACTGTAAGTACAGGGTGGAGCTGCACCTATGAACCAGACACCTCCCATTAGGCCCCATCTTCAACATTGGGGATCAAATTTCATAGTTTATGTGGGGACAAATATCCAAACTACAGCAGTAACGATATTAATTTCCTGCTTATGATAATGTGTTATGGTTATGCAAGTTCTTACCATTGAGGGAAACAGAGTGAAAGGTATGTGAATCCCTATTATTCCTCACAACTACATGTTGATTTACAATGATCTCAAAATCAAAAGTTGAAAATAAGTCTGTCACTGTATGGTATCTTGTTTTAACATAGCATCAATATCAAAGAGCAAAGAACAGAGATTGGTAACTAGTACATGAAATTTCATTTTTTACAATAAGACTAGAAAATTGATTTAGGTCAGGTACAGTAGCTCACACCTATAATCCTAGCATTTTGGGAGACTGAGATGGGCAGATCACTTGAGCTCAGGAGTTTGAGTCCAGCCTGGGGAATATGGCAAAACCCCATTTCGACAAAAAATACAAAAATTAGCTGGGTATGGTGGTTCTTGCCTGTAGTCTCAGCTACTTAAAGGGTTGAAATGGGAGGATCACTTGAGACCAGGAAGGTTGAGGCTGCAGTGAGCCATGATCATGCCACTGTCTCTAGAAAATTTAAAAGGAAAAAAAAAAAAGAAAATTTAAAAAGAAATGAAGAAAAAGAGAAAAGAAAATTGATTTAGGTTTCTTAGATGGAAAACAGTACATTGCTTTTTACTGTGGTGGCTAATTTATAAGCTTAACTTTATAGGTAGTTTCTGGGTGTGTTCAACTCAGTTCAGTTCTCATCACTTTGTTCGTTCACAGATCTGTGTCTCCAAGTGCCCACAAAGATTTTTAACCTATGTGGAAATGCAACTTTTATACACAAAAGACAAGAGCTACTGGGAAGACTACCGTCAGTTCTGTAAGACCACTGCTAAGCCTGCAAAGGTATGTGTGTTTAATCTTAAAGCTAGAGAAGAATTTAACTTTTTTTTTTCAATTTCAAGTGTAACATGAGCATTTGTTACCGAACAAGCTCCTAAAACTTCTAGGAAATGATTAGACACAATTTCATTAAAACACAAATGCGTAGGTACTGAGTGTGTACACACACCATTTATAGCACAACATTTTGTAGATTTGGGGTGTTATGAAAGGCTGTTTTGTCTGGTTAATTAGCCTCTATTTCCCGACGCCAACAAATTCTCTACTTGGATAGATTTTTACTCTAGAACTAGGAGTTAATGTCATTTGCAGTCACCATTTCGTTAATGTGATGATGAAGCCCCACAGCAACTTAGTAACAAGTAGAATTTTATTTCCAAACTCAGTTTGGTAACAACTCATTTTGAAAACTCCAACCCTTTACCTAGGTGTGAGATAGGTAAGAAATTCTAAATCATCCTTATGTTAAATAATATAAATGGTTTCCAAATTAGAGAAGATGCTGTTTTTCTAGGAAAAAAATAAAGAAATTAGAGACTCAGGATATGACTAAGAAAAAGATACATACCTCCAAAGATGTGCCTTGTTTTCAAATGATCTGGTTTTATTATTGTTGGTTTGATTGAATTATAATTAGGACATTTGAGAAAGTCAAGCAACCTTGTGTGTGTGTGTGTGATAATCTTACAATTAATAGTATTAGGAGAAATAATTTGGAATAAGGAGATTATTATGGTGTTAAATTTTTAAAGGACATATTTAGATTGAGTATAAAGTAATTATCACAGGGCCTTTGAAATGTTAACATTTTTCCTTTTATTTTAGTCTCTCACACAACTTTTACTGGATGATGATTGTCCAACAGCGATTTTTCCAAGCAAACCTTGTAAGTGGCAATTATTTTACGTTAAAAACACAGAATCTACTAAAATCCTACTTAATTAAGTTCCCATATTTCACAATTGATGAGACTGAGGCCAAGAATGGCCCTCTGACTGGCCTAAAGTCACAGAGTCGATTAGCAGAAAAGTCAAAAATAGAGCTCATCTCTTGACTCCAACCAGGTACCTTTCCACTGGAACTCTGTGATTTTTAAAATTTTCCATCATAAACATACAAGAAAAAGATTGAAAGTTAAAAGCTCAGTCAGATCGATCCTTTGGTGCTTTAGAAGCATACATGAACACACACATAGACACGCTTGTATACACCCACTCCTGATTTTAGCTGAAAACTTCGTTCAGAAATTGCCTGGGGAGTAGGGGGAGGACATATACTTGCCTTTATCACTTGAAATATTTATATATATTTAGAATTAGTCAATATTTTATTTCCTTAAAATTATAAGCTATATTTAAGTAATACTTTGTTTGGACAAAATGAGGCCCAGTACTTTGGGAGACCAAGGTGGGAGGATTGCTTGAGTTCAAGACCAACCTCAGCAACGCAGTGAAACCCTGTCTCTACAAAAGTTTTAAAAAGAAATTAGTGAGGCATGGCAAGTCCCAGCTACTTGGGAGGCCAAGATGGGTGGATCAATTGAGCCGAGGAGTTGGAGCCTGTAGTTAGCTATGATTGTACCCCTGTACACAGCCTCAGCAACAGAGTGAAACACTGTTTCTAAAAAAACAAAAATAAAAAGAAGAAAATAAAATAATCACTGAGTTTTCTTGCTTATGGATATAATCCTAATTATTTAAAAAAGCTTTAATTAAAATGTCCATCACATTTAAAGTATCAAAAAAAAAAAAAAAAGAAATACTCTACTATCTAAGAGCAAAAGAATACTTAAATAAATTGTAATGTATTCACTAAATGAAACAGTTTAGAATTATTAAATACAACTATTAGAATAACATGCATGTGTATGTTATAATGTTAAATAAAATTCAAACTCCTACAAGCCATATAATGATAAACATGTATGAATTACAAACAAGCAAAAAGATTGGAAAGAAATATGCCAAAACATTAAGTAGTTGTTTTGGGGATGGTAAAACTGTGGGAAATTTGTCTCTTCTTTCTTTTTTCTTTTTATTCATTTCCCTACAATGTACATATTTCTTTTAAAATGGAGGAAAGGCATTAGTCATTAGAGTAGATAGTCAAATACCCACTAAAGTAGCTACCACCAAACATGTCTTATATGCTGCCATCACTCTTTGCTGGGTCATAAGAGACCTTGAGGCAAAGATCTAGGTCCCACAGCAACAGCTCTTATCAGGACACTCTCAGCGACACATGTCTGCAGCCAAAATCAATGTTATAAATCTTTATGCAAAAGGATAAAAAGAAACCATTAGTAACAAAAGATCTAATTGGCATAAAAGTATAAGACATAGTCCCTGCCCTTACAAGTACACTTTGGCTAAATCACACAGGAAAAAATGTACATTGGGGAATCAAAATGACTAAGGCATAGTCCTTCACAATCTAGTGAGAAAGACATTAAAGTACATGCTGCAATCAGCTTGTGTTCCTCCTAATATGAGATTAAATAGTACTCAATAGAATAGTATGCAGATAGTAAAATGTGTTCATTAAAGAGGAAATAAGTGAGAATAAAATAAGGGAAAACACTGCATGTCCTATATAATTTTGACCCTCAAAAAATACTTATTGTAGAAGAAAGACTGGAAGGAAATTCCCCAAAATGTTAATATAGTTCATGGTAGGTGGAAGGACTATGTACAGTCCTATATCTTTTTTATATTTTATCCACTTTCTGAATATGTAATGAACATATTTAGTAACGGAAGCTAACAGATTGGATGAGATTATCCAGAAAAACATATATGAAACAAGATCAGGAGACCCTCTGGGTAGGAACACTTGTATTTAAGGGGTAGAAAGGGACAGAGTGCACAGAAATACGGAAAGGAGGACAGGAGAGCATCTGGCCATGTAAACCAAGAGGAGAGTTTCAATATGACAAGGAGTATCTACCATGTCAAAGGCTTGAAAAAGTTAACAAATTTGTCAGCAAATATTTTCTGATTTGTACTGTATGCCAAGCCCTGTTTTACATAATGTGTTTAAGCAGGATGAAGACTAAAACATATCTGGAGGTTTTGACAATCGAGAGGTCCTTGGGACCACGGGGAGGATAATTTCCATAAAATGGTGGGGGCAAAACTCTGAACCGAGTGAGTGGAAGTAGCTGGTAAAGGCTACTTTGTCATATTTACCACAGAAAGGAAGGGAAGAGCAGTAGAAAGGTGGGGCAGGTAAAGGAATCAGCCACGTTGTAAGTGCAACAGAAGCGAGAGGTGAGCAGACAAGAAAATTCCTTTTTCAGCCAGGATAGTTGGAAAACGCTTTAAAGAGACCTGTTTCTTCTTTCCCCAGCTCAGTTGCTTTAATTTTTTCAGGTATGAACTACATATGAGCCCATGCAAATCAGTGATTCTTCTTATAAGAAAAAAATGTGAAAATGATCCATTTCTGATTTTCCTTATTTCTTCATTTAAAATTGGGGTTTTAAAATAGTTTTAGTAATACATTTGTAAAGAGGCAAAGACTCTAATCAAAATAACATAGAAGGTTGAACAGTTATTTTACTTTTCTTAAAAATCATACTAGTCTACAAAGTGTAGGCCTCTTTTGATAGCTTCAGAATTCCCATTTTCAGCTACACTAAAAACTGCTGTAAATGAAAAAGCTGGGAGATAAATTGTTAAGAATTCACAAATAAAAATTTACTTGTTTTTGTAGCCTAAAGTTCGAGTTGGTTCTTATTTCCCAAGGTATTATTCACTAATCTCCAATTTTCAAGATTTTACTCAATTAGTACCTAATATATAATATATGTTATATAATATTAATTATATATTATATATATAATTTTTTTTTTTTGAGACGGAGTTTCACTCTCGTTAACCAGGCTGGAGTGCAATGGCACAATCTCGGCTCACCGCAACCTCCGCCTCCTGGGTTCAGGCAATTCTCCTGCCTCAGCCTCCTGAGTAGCTGGGATTATAGGCACGCGCCACCATGCCCAGCTAATTTTTTGTATTTTTAGTAGAAACGGGGTTTCACAATGGTGACCAGGATGGTCTTGATCTTTTGACCTCGTGATCCACCCGCCTCGGCCTCCCAAAGTGCTGGGATTACAGGCTTGAGCCACCGTGCCCGGCCCCTAATATATATTTTTAACAGCAAAACTAAACTCAACCAATCATACAAGTTAATGTGGCCTTTCTACTAAAATGTTCTTGTCATGAATGATATTAATCATTGTTACTCTTTCAAAACATAAGTTGTGCATCTTATTTATGATGACTTGATCAATATACCATGTATAAAGTAATCAAGTTTAGAATGTAGTTTCAGAGTGTGATCATATTTGCTTTCTAGTCTTAGGACCATTAGAAAATTAGATCATCAAGTAACAGTCAATGGGCTATCTACATTGAGCAATTTGCATGTCTAGCAAGAATTTGGTTATAAAATAACAAAGTTTAAGAAAGGGAGGACATTATGAAAGAAGAAGTAGAAAAGTGATTTCTATAATTTATTTTTACAGTTCTCCAGAGATGTTTCCCTGACTTCTCTACCAAAAATGGCACTTTAACAATAGGAAGTAGAATGGTGTTTCAAGATGGAAATGGAAAGACAAGAAGTGTTATAGAACTCAGGGATGCTGCAAAGTATGTGTTTATGTTGTAATTTTCAGTTTTGATGCATTTTGTTACTGCACTCAAGACTAAACCTCCTATCAGTTTAAGAGTTATAGAAAACAATTAAATATATATATATATGAAATATATATATTACTGTGGATTGAAGAGCTTGATACATATTTATTAAGAAGAACATATAAAGGAGAAACCAGAATCATTTAGAAAGAATAATGATGCTTTTTTCTTTTCCTGGAGTGCAGTGGCATGATATCTCGGCTCACTGCAACCTCCACCTTTCAGGATCAAGTGATTCTCTTGCCCCAGCCTCCTGACTAGCTGGGATTTTAAAAAAGAAAGAAAGGAACAATAATGATGCTTTTCAAAATTGTTAAATCTTTCATTCTCAACAGGTATAGAAGTGTAATATAAAGAAATGTATTGGTGGCATATCAAATTTCTATGTACTAAGTATAGTGCAGTAAATTTACCATGTCCCCTTGGCTTACACACATGGTGCTACATGTTACTGGAAAATATATTTCTCTTTGTGCACATAAACATATATACCTGTGTACAAACATAAATGTACACCACATATCACTGCATTGCTCAGTTATAGATAAAAATTAAAGATATTCTATAAATTTATTTATCTTAAAAGACTTTAGCAGTATAATTAGTATAGTATGGTTCCTGCATATTTAGAATACAATAGCAGCATTCATGATTTTCAGAAATTAAAATCTGTGTAAAATCTCAAAATAATAATACAAATATGATTCCATTGATATAACGGTCAGAAACAAGCAGAGTTAAATTTATTTCCCTGTGATGCATATATAATTAGTAAAATGAAAAGAAATCTTAGGAAATTATTATCACAAACGTAAGAATAGTGGTTACTTTGAGGAAGAGACCGGTGTTACAGTTCTGGCACATGAAGAAGGGACTGACAATGTTGTCATTATATGACTGCGTTCACTTTGATAATTCATCATTGGACACTGATTGTGAAATTTCTAGTAAGTGTTCCATCATGCCTTACTGTCAGGATTAGGAATGGGAATTAAAGGCGATGTTCATTCTTGACTATGGGTTTTGAAAGTTAAAAGCTAATCTGACCATTTAAATTCATTTCTTACAGTGGGATTTCCGCAATATTGAGGGAAAATTGCAAACAATGGAAAAGGATTTGCTCACCGTTCTTGAAAATCATGTTCTCTTTGTGTTCAGCTATAGCTACCTTTGCAGGTTTACTGGTGACATTTTATGTAATATTGTGGCTAGGAAAATAGTCACTACTGATAGATGGTTTCTGAAAACATGCTTTCAACAGCACCTTGTAGAATCCCTTTTATTATAACAAGAACATTTCTATTTAATGGTCATCAAAAAGTAATTGATTTTTTCTTTCTTTCAATTCAGTGGTATTAATAAACTACTTGATGCAAAGTCACTTGGATTGAAAGTCTTTGAAGACTATGCAACAACTTGGTATTGGATTCTCATGTAAGTGGAAACACATAGATGTTTCTTCTCCAGCCCTATTCTGATTTTATCTTGTAGAATTGTTTCTTCGAATTTTTTATTCTTATTCGTGTATAAAAAGTTCACTGAGATCTCAGTTCCTGCCATTTTCTTTATCAGATGAGGTGCGACAGGGGAAAGATATTTGGAAATATGCTCAGTGTTGGCAGAATGTAAATTTTAATTTTATTCACTAAAGTACTAATAAAAGTACTCTTATAAACACATACTTCAAGTTATGTGAGGCAATATCTGCAGGACTTCTGTATCTGTAATACTCTTGCACTAATCATCACATGCTACCGTGGATACAGGATGGTTTCTCAGATTAGTTTTTCTAATTTGTCCCTCTCTTGATTTCGAAAGGATCGTTCTTATTTTTAACACATCCCTTCCACATAATGACTGGTATTCATCATCACCAGAAGTCACTGTAGATATGAGAAGCTACCTAACTATGTATGTGATACATAAATATATATATATATAGATAGATAAGGGGGGAGGAGATGTAACATTTTCAGACGTAAGATTCACATTCCTAGAAAGTTAAGGAATGTAGTCACTGCACTGGAATGGGTAAATGTGTGACAGATCTAAGACTGTCAGTACCGTCCGGCTCTTTCGTCATTCTCTAGTGATTAAAAGCTTCTCTGGTTCCCTAATGGTCAAAGACTAAAGCTAAAGCTTTTTCAGATATTTCTGAGGACCTTTAAAACCTGCCCAACTTAGTTTCTGCAATTTATCTCCACCCATGTTTCTCGGTTAACACTATATTCTAAACACATCAAATAACATTCTCATCCCTATACTATCAAATCCCATAAATTTGCACATTCTGTTTCCTTCTCTGGCAAATCCTCTGAGTCTTGGGAAATGGTACCTCATTAAAAAAAAATCAGCTTTAGTATCATTTATGAAACCTTTATTATCTTTCCCAGATACACTTACTTAGTTCTTCCAATGTGTTTGTCATACCTATATGTGAACATGTGTGTGTATACACACCTATAAATACACACACATACTCATCTTCCATATAGCACCTACCATTCTGTGTTTTATTTATCTGTCCCTTTCCCTCTGATAAAGCATGAACTCTTTACAATGGTAAATATGTCTAACTCATCTTCATTTTCCTAACTTCTGTATGAGTACTTGAACATAGTAGACACACAAAAATATGTTAAGAAACCGCAAGAAAAACCTAGTTGGTCAAGATATGTGAATGTGATTACATGATGCATAATAAAGTCTAACTTGTATTTTGTGTGAGAAACTAGTGGGTGGTGTTTAGAGCTGTAAAATCAGACCGCTTGATGAGATTTTACTCATTTTGATGCTTTGTCCTAAACAATTACAGTAATTACTTTTAGTATGTTAGGATTTATCTTCAGCAAAGATTGTAGTCTATTCTTGACAGTATTTAAATTGATTCCCTTATTGTCAGACTCAAATGTCACTAGATAATTTCTATGCTGCTTCTTCATTTGGCTTTTTCATATCTACCTGAACAAGTGTACATTGTAATAGATTCTCCTGCTTACCTCACCCCCAAAACACAAGCTGAAACCCTCTCCACCCAGGCACCACTCATAAGAGTAAAACATCAACATCTCCCTTTAGTTTCAATTCTTCTGCTCTCATTTATTTTATAAATCTAAATCTAAAGTACTTATATGATTATATCTATTTATTCAGTTATAATTTTTATGTACAAATTTAAAACACACAGAATAAACAGTTTTATTTCTTGTTATTTTTTCCTCTGACATTTCTGAATACTTTCCTTGGGCTATGCCATAAAATAATCTTTCAACAATATGGAATATTTAAGCATTAAAGTATCTGTGATTTTAAGAGGAAATGACTTCCAAAGTTAAAAGAATAGGCTTTGCAAGACTCTGACACTTCAGTACTGTGTTGTCATCTATCCAGTGACAGTAATTATGGAGATTTTTTAATAATAAAAAGATAACACTTGAGACAGTAACTTAATAAATGTACCAAACTGTGTCTGTTGCTATGTTTGGAAACTTAGAGATAACCCCAGACATAACAGTTCTTAATAGAAGCATCAGGCAACTTTCCAATCTTAATGAGTTCTCTTTGAGAAAATTACATCAGAAGACTCCAGTGTGACCTTAACCTGGATATATGGGAGGAAAAGAAGCTTCTCTAGTAGTTCAGTCAAGCTCTAAAAAGAAATTAAAACTGACAGAAAATAGTCATACTGTTAATTGCTTGATAAAGTCACATGTCCCAGGAGACACAGAAGCTTTATCCTGATTCCAAATAATGGCCCACAGATCACTGGGGACCTGGAATAGATGTCTGGGTGACATAAGGCATCACAAACTCCTAGAGATAATTAGACCATAGTGATAATGACTACAGCATTATGGGCTCTGAGGGTGGCCATTTTTCTTATCTTTCTGCCCCAAAATGATTTTCTTATTTCTATAGCCATATTACAGAAGATTTCCACCAGTCACCAGGTAAATGAAACAGAACATATTCATCATGAATATATTTTACAATTTATGACCTAGTAGGTAGATATGATGAGAAAAAATAAGACATGGCAACTGTCACCAATAAATCAAAATTGTAGGTTGGAGGAATTGTATTTTTCCTTGAACAATAACTGATACTAGATTTCAGTTAACCCAGGTACACAAAGATGACTTCTGTATAAAGTCCCTATGGTCCTATTCTTTCATATGAAAGTCTTAATGGAAATAATTGTTTATACCTTTTGACATTATTGTTTCTATAGCCAGCTAAAATAAAATAATTTGAGAATAATTTTGAATAGAAAAAAAGTTTTGTAATATGTTATGTTTAGCACACTTGACAGCTGTGTTTGTTGTGGGTTTTTTCTAGTGGGCTTACGATCGCCATGTTCCTTAGTTGGATATTTTTGATACTCCTGAGGTTCATAGCTGGATGCCTCTTCTGGGTCTTCATGATTGGTGTGATTGGAATTATAGGTTATGGTAGGTATCACTCCTCTTCAAATTGCCAAATATCAGAATAATCTTTTTATTTTTAATTGCTATGATCGCTTACCAGAAAGCATTTGTTTTCAGTGGATCTAATTATTCTTTACATTCATAAAAGCTTTAAACTTAGAAAAAATATTTAATTTTGCATGTATTGTCCCTGTTACTTTTTCTTCCTATATCTTTGGGGGAAAATTGCTGTCAGAACGTTTTATTCTTTTCCCTACCAGCCTTTGGTCTCCTGCCTCATGGCTACTAAGAAGGAGGTAAAAGGAAATCCTTTCAGATTAATGAAAACATTTCAGACAACTTCTTTATTTCTTTAACTCTTCTGTCTGATCAAAGGCCAGGTCTGCAAACTTACAGAAGTGTGATCTATTTTTCTCTTTCAACTTAGTACCTTTAATCCAGGTACTGTCACACCATTTAATAACTGGTACTCCATAATGAAGCATCGCCCTCTAGAGGCAAGTATTTTGAATTACGCTCTTAGATGGAGAATTACCGTACCGTCTGTGGGAGCTAAGTAATTGGCAGTAATTAAATTACAATACTGTCTGTGGGAGCTAAGTGATTGGCAGTAAGTAAATGTGGGAGCTAAATAATGAGTACACATGGATGTAGAGTCTAGAGTAATAATGGGAATGTGGAAGGGGGTGGATAATGAAAAATTATTTAATGGATACAATGCATGTCATTCAGGTGACAGATACACTAAAAGCCACAATGCAATATATACACATATAACAAAATTACACATGTACCCCATAAATTTGTACAAATAAATTGTTTAAAATCAAGGTTGAAATCTAATCAGAAACTCGATCTCCCCAAAACAATACACATCAGGTTTGTGAGCTCTATATATGAATTAAAGTGTTTCACATGGAACAGTATCCACTTGTGGCAGCTTCCTTTCAGTCTTCTAAAAATATATGAGGCAATCAATATGTTCTATAAATGTTTGAGAGCTTTCTAATTAAAGGAATGATTTCCCCTACAGCACCATTTGGACTAACAACAGTTTTATGGTAGTAGACATTAAAAATAACAATCCCTTATTTCTGTCACTCAGTGAAGAAGAGCTTTACACCTATAAGAATGCAGTTGAATCCCCAGGTTGTGTAGTTAGCCTGTGTTCTAATCCAGCTCCATAACATACAACTCGCTAACTTTGGAAGTTTCTTGGTGGTTAACAGACCCAGTGTCCTCATCTATAACATCAGCACAATAATGGTATCTTCATCTCAGAGGATCTTAAAGATTAAATGAGACAATGAATATAAAGCTCTTAGAGCAGTATCTGGAACACAGCAGACAATCATTATGTGATGGGTTATTGTTATTACCCTCCTCATTATCTCCAGTGAGTTTTTAGTAAAGCATTCAGGTCTTCTCAGGTGTTCCTTATGTGCTCCTGTTGTACAGCTCCTCTTGAATCCCACCTGGGTTTCTTGCTGAGCACAGCCAGGTAACAGATAACAGGTGAATCAGTCTTCCATCCTCTAATCAGAAACTGCAAAGAAAGTTGTTTAAATGTCTTGTTTTTGTGTTCCTGCTTGGAGCTTAATATAATCTCCGCCCTATGTCACTGGAGAGTCTGGGCATGTGATTCAATCACTCTTGTATTGTCATCAGGAAGGAAAGGGCAGTCTGCTATTGACTTCACTGATGTCTTAAGCAGCAAGAAAAATCTGAGATTGGCTGTAGTGCAATTTTAACAATGGCAAAAAGGAGAAAGATGGTCAACGTATAAAAAAGTGCAGGTAAAACAATCAATTTTCGCTCCCTTTTGACTCCCTAGATAGTACTAACCCAGAAATTAATGATGTGGGAAGTAAGCTTGATGGTATTTATTGAGGTGGGAAATGTCCAGTTAGGTTGGGGAGTGTTAGTAAATAAGACTGCATGTAAGTGACCTCTGCTACTATCCTGGACAATTGACTTTCTACCTGTCATGAGAAACCATTTTTTTCTACTAAAATTTCCTACTGAAAGCAGCCCATTTACTAGGGCAAATAACAATGTGGATGTGTCATTCTGAGCAGAGAAAAAGCCAGACTGGTTGTCGGCAAGTGTTCCTATACAGCAATGGAACAGCTCTCTTTGGACAGAACAGATTAAGAGGTATATAGGAGAAGACATGTATTTAAGGTATAAAAAAGGCAGAATCCCAGATTCATCACATATTAACTGTAAGATCCTCTGCAAGTATACAGTTTCTTTAATTCATAGTTTTATCAACCTTATAGCAGGGAACTGTGAACACTAAACAAAATCATATGTATAAAGTACTTAGATTTTGCTAGCATATAGTAAATGCTCAAATAGTGTCCATTTTTGTTGTTGCTGATATTGTTATTCAGGAATATTATTGAGGAAAGAGGATTTGAAGCCCAGACATCATAACTTAAAAAAAATCTAGGATAAGAGAGAGAAAGCAAAGAAAGGGAAATTGGAAAATATTGCCTAGACTTTCACATTCACTAGTATGAGGAAACAAAATTGTCTGAAGGGCCTTTTTGCTATGAAATCGTGGCATTAGAAAGAGTACTCTATTGTTTTATATGTTGTTTTGATAAACTTTAGGAAATAAAGGAAATCTCCCTCAAAAGAAAAAAAAAGTAACTCACAAGCTAAAATCAAAGTGGGGAACCAAGCAGGAAGCACAGGTGAAACACTGGGTAACCTAAAGTGGTGCTGGGATCAGGAGACTCAGACCGGAGTTGGCAGCAGAACAGGGGATCATACCTGAAACTCCTGGAGTAAGTCTGGGATCCTAGAAATGTCTAAAGTGACCTGTCTGTTAGTACCCTTTGGCTGCCAAAAGAAGTAAAAGTAAATCTCCTCTAGATGAAAGTTTTGTCAATTTAGGTCACCAGGTTTTTACAGATTTGGATCGACAAAGTCTGAGACTACCTGACATGCAAGAAAACAGTTCTGTGTGAAATCAGTGGATGCTATAAATGTGAGACTGAGGTCTCCAGGAATTCAGATATGGATATTAATAGATATAGGACAGGTGGCCAGACACGTTGGCTTACACCTTTAATCCCAGCACTGTGGGAGGCCAAGGTGGGCCAATCACTTGAAGTGAGGAGTGGGAGACAAGCCTGGCCAATATGGTGAAACCCAGTCTCTACTAAAAATACAAAAGTTAGTCAGGCATGGTGGCACACACCTGTAGTCCCAGATATTTGGGAGACTGAGGTGGGAGAATTACTTGAACCTAGGAGGAGGAGGTTGCAGTGAACCAAGATCATAACCATTGTACTTGAGCCTGGGCAACTGAATAAGACTTTGTCTCAAAAGAAAAAAAAGAAAGCTATAGAACATGAAATAACCATGCGTAAAAAGTTTAAAGGATTAAAGATAGAATTACAAAAATAAAAATAAAAAATGTCCAGGCATACATGAAGATGAGCCAAAAAGAACTTTTTGAAATCAAAATGTTGTATTAAAAACAAATTGGTACTTAAAGAGAGCCAAATCAAGAATGAACTGCCATTCACAATTGCTACAAAAAGAATAAAATACCTTGAAATACAACTCACAAGGAACGTAAGGGACCTCTTCAGGGAAAACTACAAACCACTGCTCAACGAAATCAGAGAGGACACAAACAGATGGAGAAACATTCCATGTTCATGGTTAGGAAGAATTAATATCGTGAAAATGGCTATACTGCCCAAAGTAATTTACAGAATCAACGCTATCCCCATCAAGCTACCATTGACTTTCTTCACAGAACTGGAAAAAACCACCTTGAACTTCATATGGAACCAAAAGAGGGCCCGCATAGCCAAGTCAATTCTAAGCAAAAAGAACACAGCGGGGGGCATCACACTACCGGATTTCAAACTATACTATAAGGCTACAGTAATCAAAACAGCATGGTACTGGTACCAAAACAGAGATATAGATCAATGGAACAGAACAGAGGCATCAGAGGCAACACAACATAGCTACAACCATACAATCTTTTATAAACCTGACAAAAACAAGCAATGGGGAAAGGACTCCCTGTTCAACAAATGGTGTTGGGAAAACTGGCTAGCCATGTGTAGAAAGCAGAAACTGGACCCCTTCCTGACACCTTACACCAAAATTAACTCCAGATGGATTAAAGACTTAAACATAAGACCCGGCACCATAAAAACCCTAGAAGGAAATCTAGGCAAAACCATCCAGGACATAGGAGTAGGCAAGGACTTCATGAACAAAACACCAAAAGCATTGGCAACAAAAGCCAAAATAGACAAATGGGACCTAATCAAACTCCACAGCTTCTGCACAGCAAAAGAAACAGTCTCTAGTGTGAATCAGCAACTAACAGAATGGGAAAAAATTTTTGCAGTTTACCCATCTGACAAAGGGCTGATATCCAGAATATACAAAGAACTCAAACAGATTTACAGGAAAAAAACAAACAAGCCCATTCAAAAGTGGTCAAAGGATATAAACAGACACTTTACGAAAGAAGACATATATGAGGCCAACAATCATATGAAAAAATGCTCATCGTCACTGGTCATCAGAGAGATGCAAATCAAAACCACATTGAGATACCATCTCACGCCAGTTAGAATGGTAATCATTAAAAAATCTGGAGACAACAGATGCTGGAGAGGATGTGGAGAAAAAGGAATACTTTTACACTGTTGGTAGGAGTGTAAATTAGTCCAACCATTGTGGAAGACGGTGTGGCGATTCCTCAAGGCCTTAGAAATAGAAATCCCATTTGACCCAGCAATCCCATTACTGGGTATATATCCAAAGGACTATAAATCGTTCTACTACAAGGACACATGCACACGAATGTTCATTGCAGCACTGTTTACAATAGCAAAGACCTGGAATCAACCCAAATGCCCATCAATGATAGACTGGATTGGGAAAATGTGGCACATATACACCATGGAATATTATGCAGCAATCAGAAATGATGAGTTCGTGTCGTTTATAGGGACATGGATGAATCTGGAGAACATCATTCTCAGCAAACTGACACAAGAACAGAAAATGAAACACCGCATATTCTCACTCATAGGCGGGTGATGAAAAATGAGAACACATGGACACAGGGAGGGGAGTACTAAACACTGGGGTCTATAGGGGGAAAAGGGGAGGGCCAGTGGGAGGGGGAGGTGGGGAGGGATTGCCAGGGGAGAAATATCAAATGTGGGTGAAGGGGAGAAAGCAAACCAAACACACTGCCCTGTGTGTACCTATGCAACTGTATTGCATGCTCTGCACATGTACCCCAAAACCTAAAATGCAATTAAAAAGAAAAGAAAACAACAACAACAACAACAACAACAAAAAAAACAAATTGGTAAGCTAAACAGCAAAATGGAGAACTAATAAATTGAAATATGAATCTGAAGTAACCAAAATATAGCAGAATGTGATGAGACAAAAATATGATTGTGTGGTTAAAAGAAAGAGAAAATAGGTTAAGAAGGGCCTGACATTATGTCAACTATATTTGAAAACTCTTGGCTGATCATTTTCCAGAACTGATGAAAGACATAGATCCATAGAAACAGGAAGCCCTCATTATACTAAGGAGAGTAAAGGAAGAGAAATCCATATCTAATTGAACATTATTCTGTTTATTCAACAGATATCAATTGAACAGCTGCTGTGTACAGACACTATTTTAGATTCTTGATGTACAACAGTAAATGAACAGACAAAGGATTTTACTCTTCTGATGCTCATGGCCTAAGTAATTTATATATTAGAAGGTAGTTAATGCTATGGAAAAAAGAAAAGGTAGAGCAGGAAAGGGGGTATTGAGAGTGCCATGGTAGGGCAAGGAGTCAAAATGGCAATATTAGAATAAGGGGTCTTTTGGGGAAGATATCTAAGAAAACACTTGAAAGCAGTGGCGTTAGACTGTCAAGATGAAGGAAAGTTCCAGACAGTGGGTACAGCTAGAGCAAAGGCCCTGTAAGATAAGAATGTATTGAAGAAATGGCTGGGAGCCTGGTGTGGATAGGTGTACTGAGTAAAGGAAAAAATAGTAGGAGATGAGGTCAGAGAATTTATGAAGGAGCCAGAGTCTTACAGATTATCGTAAAACCTAGGCTTTCACTCTGAGTGAAACAGGTAGGCAATGTAGGGTTTTGAGGAGCAAAGAGATGAGATATAATAATTGCTCTAGTCCCTGTATTGAGAATAGACTGTAGTAAAGCAATGAGATCAGTAAGGAGACGATTGCAGAAATGTATATGCCAAATGAGGGAAACTCTTGAAGATGTCCATACATGCTTTTATTGTCTAATAATAGCTGTATTTCCTGATGGATTGAATGCATCTATGAGAGAGAGTGAGAAAGCATGATTCCACAGGAATATATGAGATGTAAGAAAAGATGGTGAACAAAGAAAATAAATTAGTAATCATTTAGGGAAAGCTAAATAAACTTTGCCTGCATAAAATAATTGCTTTAGACATTGGACACTAAAATTCTTCTTGTATGTAGACAAAGTTTGTTTAGCTTTACTTACATACTAATATATTTTAAATGTACATAATGAAATTATTGAGCAATAATTAGAGTGGGTGATTATTGAGCAACTAAGGTCTTTGAGTTTCCTTATTAAGATATTGGCTTTAGACTTGTTAAAAAAACAGAAGAGACTTTCAAGGTAATCTGTTATAGAAATAGAGTAGATAGCTCAAAACCAGTAGAGAAGAAAAGTGGAAAATAAGTAAACAAAGAAAAATCATCAATTTTTAAAAGATTTGAATTGGAAGAAAAGTATAGGCACAGAATAGGACACGAAAAGCAAAAGTAAGAACATAGAAACAAATATAAATATATCAATTTATAAAGTATAAATATGTTTAACTCACCAATTAGAATACAGAGATTGTCAGGTTAGATTAAAATGTACACATACAAACTGGAGCTATATATTATTTATAAAAGTTATACAACATGTAAGGAAATAGAACATTTGAAAGTGAAAGGATGGAAAAAATATACTAGCAATCATTAACAAAAGAAAGTGGCAGAGAACAGTGATATCAGCAAAATAGATTTTAGAATGACAGTTATTGTTATGGATAAAAATGATTTAGTTCACTAGAAAAATACCAATCCTAAACTTGTCGCATCTATTTAAATAACCTCAAAAATCATAGAATTGCAAGGATAAATAAATAAGTGGGTAATAATAAATTAGTGTTGGGTATAAATCTTAAGGGGAGTTTTCATACGTCTTTCTAGTGAACATATATATCATGATGTATTTAACCAGTCCTTACTGATGGACATTTCTAGTCAAAAGCATATTTAAAGCCAGATGTTGCCACAGTTATCAAGGCAAATACTAAAACATTTATATCAAATACAGTAGCACATTTAGACTATTGGATCCAAATAAAATATTTCCTGTGTAAATACGTGTCTTTCCTTTGCAGAAATTACCATGCTGATGAGTTTTATGTAGATATGTATGATGAACACATAAAGCTTGTATTTCAGAAAATCATATTTTATATTATTCCTTTCTTTCTTTTTCAAGGAATATGGTACTGTTACCAGGAATACATCAAACTTCAGGAACACCCAAGTTCTGTATTAACTATCTATGACATCGGGATTCAGACTAGCATAAGCTTGTACTTTCAACTGAAACAAACATGGTTCACATTTAGTGAGTATTTTAAAAACTGATTTCATTAAAATTGTAATAATGAGAAAATATCTTTTTGTCTAAAAGAAAATTTGGATTGGTGTAACCTTTTAAATGTATTTATCACTAATGTCATAAAAGATAATGTGTCTATAATCCCCTAACTATAGTAAGTGGAAAAGTTATTGAGGAAAATTTACTGTATTATCTAAGAAAATACTACCTTACAAGGACCTCAAGCCATTTTCCTTCAAATTAAAATGGTTTAGTTGTGGACATTTATAGGCATTAATCTGATGTCTAACAAAGATGCTTAAAAAGAGAAAAATGCTTCATTTTTCAACTTTTTATTAATTAATTTCATTTTCTGAGATAGGATCTTGCTCTATCACCTAGGCTGGAGTGTAGTGGCACAATCATGGCTCACTGCAGTCTTGACCTCCCAAACTCAAGCAATTCTACTATCTCAGCTTCCCAAGTAGCTAGGACCACAGGCATGTGCCACCATGCCTGATTAATTTTCTAATTTTTTATAGAGATGAAGTCTCTCTCTGTTGCTTAATCTGGTCTTAAATTTCTGGGCTCAAGTGATCCTCCCACTTCAGCCTCCTAACATGCTGGCGTGAGCCACCATTTCCAGCCACAAACTTGGTTTTTAAAAAGGAAAAGGAAAAACAGTAATTTTTTCATAATAAAACATTTAAACTACTTATAAGAATTATGAGTAACATCTGAAAATATATTTGCATGTTTGAAGTGTTTATTCAAGTTTTTTAATTTCTTAAGGATAGTATTTTTTAATATTAACAAATTTAAATATTTATTGAAATGTAACAAAATTTTTAAAGCAGATGATTTCAGAGATAGTTTTAATCTTATATTTCTAGAATGGTGTTATTATAATATTCTTTGTAAGATTCATGGTTTTTAAATTTTATTTTACTTTAGGTGCATACTATATCTGGCATTTCTCCTCGTGTTATCCTTCCCCACCCTCTCCTCCCTCCCCACCCTCTCCTCCCTCCCCACCCCCTGCTGTCTCTCCCCTACCCCTGCCAACTGTCCCCAGTATGTGATGCTCCTCTCCCTGAATCCACGTGTTCTCATTGTTCAACACCCATCTATAAGTGAGAACATATGGTGTTTGGCTTTCTGTTCTTATATCAGTTTGCTGAGAATGATGGTTTCCAGATTCATCTAAGTCCCTACAAAGGACACAAACTCATCGTTTTTTATGGCTGTGTAGTATTCCATGCTGTATATGTACCACATTTTCTTTGTCCAGTCTATTATTGATGGGCATTTGGGTTGGTTCCAGGTCTTTGCTATTGTACACAGGGCTGCAATGAACATATGTGTGCATGTGTCTTTATAGTAGAACAATCTATAGTTCTTTGGGTATATACCCAGTAGTGGGATTGCTGGGTCAAATGGAATTTCTATTTCTAGATCCTTGAGAAATCGCCACACTGTCTTCCACAATGGTTGAACTAATTTACACTCCCACCAACTGGGAAAGAGTGCTCCTGTGTCTCCACATCCTCTTCAGCATCTGTTATCTGCAGATTTTTCAATTATTGCCATTCTTAACTGCCGTGAGACAGTATCTCAATGTGGTTTTGATTTGCATTTCTCTAATGACCATTGATGATGAGCATTTTTTTATATGTTTCTTGGCCTCATAGATGTCTTCTTTCGGAAAAGTGCCTGTTCATATTCTTCGCCCACTTTTGAATGGGGTTGTTTTGTTCTTGTATGTCTGTTTCAGTTCTTTGTAGATTCTGGATATTAGCCCTTTGTCAGATGGGTAGATTGCAACAATTTTTTCCCATTCTGTTGGTTGCTGATTCACTCTAACAATGGTTTGTTTTTGTTTGTTTGTTTGTTTGTTTTTGCTGTACAGAAGCTCTGAATTTTAATTAGATCCCATTTGTCTAACTTGGTTTTTATTGCCATTGCTTTTGGTGTTTTAGTCATGAGTTCCTTGCCTATGCCTATATCCTGGATGGTTCTGCCTATGTTTTCTTCTAGTGTTTTTATGGCGTTAGGTTTTATGTTTAAATCTTTGATCCATCTGGAGTTAATTTTAGTGTAAGGTGACAGGTAGGGGTCCAGTTTCTGCTTTCTGCACATTGCTAGCCAGTTTTCCCAACACCATTTATTAAACATGGAGTCCTTCTCCATTGCTTGTTTTGTCGGGTATGTGAAAGATCACATGGTTGTAGATGTGTGGTGTGGCTTCTGGAGCCTCTGTTCTGTTCCATTGGTCTATGTCTCTCTTTTGGTACCAGTACCATGCTGTTTTGATTACTGTAGCCTGGTAGTAGAGTTTGAAATCTGGCAGTGTGATGCCTCCTGGTTTTTATTCTTTTGGCTTAGGATTCTCTTGGCTATACGGGCTCTCATGAGATTCCATATGAAGTTTAAAGTGGTTTTTTCCAGTTCTGTGAAGAAGGTCATTGGTAGCTTTATGGGCAGAGCATTGAATCTATAGATTACTTTGGGCAGTATGGCCATTTTCATGATATTGATTCTTTCTAACCATGAGCATGGAATGTTTTTCCATCTGTTTGTGTCCTCTCTTATTTCATTGAGCAATAGTTTGTAGTTCTCCTTGAAGAGGTCCTTTACATCCTTTGTTAGTTGTATTCTTAGGTGTTTTATTCTCTTTGTAGCAATTATGAATGGTAGTTCACTCTTGATTTGGCTCTCTGTTTGTCTGTTATTGGTATATAGGAATGCTTGTGATTTCTGCACATTGATTTTGTATCCTAAGACTTTGCTGAAGTTGCTTATCAGTTTGAGAAGATTTGGGGCTGAGATGATGGGTCTTTGATATACAATCATGTCATCTGCAAATAGAGACAGTTTGACTTCCTCCTTTCCTAATTGAATACCCTTTATATCTTTTTCTTGCCTGATTCCTTTGGCTAGAACTTCCAATACTATATTGAATAGGAGTGGTGAGAGAGGGCATCCTTGTCAAGTGCCTGATTTCAAAGGGAATTCTTCCAGCTTTTACCTGTTCAGTATGATATTGGCTGTAGATTTGTCATATATAGCTTTTAACATTTTATGATACGTTCCATCAATACCTAGTTTATTGAGTGTTTTTAGCATTAAGCGCTGTTGAATTTTATCAAAGGCCTTCTCTGCATCTATTGAGATAATCATATGGTTTTTTTCTGTGGTTCCATTTATGTGATGGATTACATTTATGGATTTGCATTTGTGGAACCAGCCTTGCATCCCTGGAATGAAGCCTACTTGATAGTGATGGATAAGCTTCTTGATGTGCTGTTGCAATCTGTTTGCCAGTATTTCATTGAAGATTTTTGCATTGATGTTCATCATGGATATTGGCCTGAAGTTTTTTCTTTTTTAGTTGAGTCTCTGCCTGGTTTTGGTATCAGGATGATGTTGGTCTCATAAAATGAGTTAGGGAGGATTCTCCCCTTTTCTATTGTTTGATACAGTTTCAGAAGGAATGAAACCAGCTCCTCTTTGTATGTCTGGTAGAATTCGACTGTGAACCTGTCTGTACCTGGACTGTTTTTGGTTGGTAGGCTATTGATTGCTGCCTCTACTTCAGCCCTTGTTATTGGTCTATTCAGATTTTCAACTTCCTCCTGGTTTAGTCTTGGTAGAGTACAAGTGTCTAGGAATCTATTCATTTCTTCCTGGTTTACTGGTTTATGTGAATAGAGCTGTTTGTAGTAATCTCTGATGGTAGTTTGTATTTCTATGGGATCAGTGGTGATATCCCCTTTATAGTTTTTTTATTGCATCTATTTGATTCTTCCCCCTTTTCTTTTTTCTTAATCTGGCTAGGAGTCTATTTTGTTGATCTTTTCAAAAAACCAGCTCCTAGATTTATTGATTTTTTGAAGGGTTTTTTTTTTGTCTCTATCTCCTTCAGTTCTACTCTGATCTTAGTTATTTCTTGTCTTCTGCTAGCTTTTGAATTTTTTTGATCTTCCTCTTCTAGCTCTTTCAATTTTGATGATACAGTGTCAACTTTAGATATTTACTTGTTTCTCCTGTGGGCATTTATTGCTGTATATTTCCCTCTCAACACTGCTTTAAAGGTGTCCCGGAGATTCTGGTAAGTTGTGTCTTCATTCTGGTTGGTTTCAAAGAACATCTTTATTTCTGCCTTCATTTCATTGTTTATCCAGTCGACATGCAGTAGCAAGTTGTTCTGTTTCCAAGTGGTTGTGTGGGTTTGATTGTGCTTCTTGATCCTGAGTTCTAGTCTGATTGCACTGTGGTCTGATAGACTGTTAGGATTTCTGTTCTTTTGCATTTGCTGAGGAGTGATTTACTTTCAATTATGTGGTCAGTTTTAGAGTAAGTGCAATGTGGTGATGAGAAAAATGTATATTCTGTGGATTTGGAGTGGAGCATTCTGTATGCGTCTGTTAGGTCCACTTGGTCCAGCTCTGCATTCAAGTCCTGGATATCCTTGTTAATTTTCAGTCTTGTTGATCTGTCCAATATTGAAAGTGGAGTGTTGAAGTCACCCACTATTATTGTGTGGGAGTCTAACTCGCATTTTAGGTCATTAAGAACTTGCTTTATGTATCTGGGTGCTCCTGTGTTGGGGGCGTATATATTTAGGATAGTTAGCTCTTCTTGTTGGATCGATCCTTTTACCATTACGTAGTGTCCTTCTTTGTCTCTTTGTTGGTTCGAAGTCCATTTTATCATAGACTTGTATCGCAACCCCTCCTTTTTTTAATTCTCCATTTGCTTGGTAAATCTTCCATCCCTTTGAGTCTATGTGTGTCTTTGTATGTGAGATGGGTTCCCTGAATACAACACACTGATGGGTTTCGACTTTTTATCCAGTTTGCCAGTCTGTGTTTTTTGACTGGGGCATTTAGGCCATTTACATTCAATGTTAATATTGTTATGTGTGAATTTGATCTTGCCATTTTGTTACTGGCTGGTTTTCTTTCTCATTAGTTGACTCATTTTCTAAATTGTATTTTTGGTTTTTGCCAGCTGGTTTGCTTTTGCAGTGACTGATACTTGTTCTTTTCCCTGCTTGGTATTTATTTCAGGAGCCTTGTAGGACAGGTCTGGTGGCGACAGTCTCTCAGTAATTGCACGTCCATAAAGGATTTTATTTCTCCATCACTTATGAAGCTTAGTTGGTTGGATATGAGATTCTGGGTTGAAAGTTCTTTTCTTTAAGGATGTTGAATATTGGCCCCCACTCTCTTCTGGCTTGTACGGTTTCTGCCAAGAGATCTGCTGTGAGTCTGAAGGGCTTCCTTCTGTAGGTGACCTGACCTATCTCTCTGGCTGTGCTTAGCATTTTTTCCTTCATTTCAACCTGGTGAATCTGACGATTATGTGCTTTGGGATTACTCTTCTTGAGAAATCTTTGTGGAGTTCTCTGTATTTCTTGAATTTGAATGTTGGACTGCCTTGTTAGGCTTGGGAAGTCCTCCTGGCTAATTTCCTGGAGTGTGTTTTCCAGCTTGGATTCATTCTCCCCATCATATTCAGGTACACCGATCAAGCGCAAATTAGGTCTTTTCACATAATCCCATATTTCTTGGAGGCTTTGTTCATTTCTTTTCACTCTTTTTTCTCTTGTCTTGCCTTCTCTTTTTATTTCATTGAGTTGATCTTCAGTCTCTGATATCCTTTCTTCTGCTTGATCGATTCAGCTATTAAAACTTGTGTTTGCTTCATGTAGTTCTCGTGCTGTGTTTTTCAACTCCATCAAGTTGTTTATGTTCTTCTCTAAGCTGGTTATTCTACTTAGCATTTCCTCTAACCTTTTTTCAAGGTTTTTGGTTTCTTTGCATTGAGTTAGCACGTGTTTCTTTAGCTCAGAAAAGTTTGTTATTATCCACCTTCTGAAGCCTGTTTCTGTCAATTTGTCATGCTCTTTCTCTGTCAAGTTGTGATCCTGTGTTATTGAGGAGTTGAGATCCCTTGAAGAAGAAGAGATGTTTTGGTCTTTGATGGTTTCATCTTTTTTTGTGCTGGGTTTTTCCCATCTTTGTGGATTTACCTGGCTGTGGTGTCAGGGAGCTGCTTGATGAGTTTGCTTGTCTGCCTGTGGAGGTGCTACTGGGTTTCTAGGGACTCCTTCAGGTTACTAGGGAAGCTTTCTGTGTCTTTTTTTTTGTTTATACTAGGAAGTTAGGCCCGCCTCTTCAGCTGACCTGTAGGGGCTGCTGGGTTGTCAAGAATGCCATCCCATCCCATTGCTATGTAGGCTTCCTGTGTTTTTTGTTAAAACATGTAGCCCAGTCCCACTCCTCTAATGGTGGGTTGTGCCCTTCCTCCACTGGGCTGGATCATTCAGGGTTTAGCCCAGACTGTGGCACAGGCTGTGCAACCCATTAGAGTCAGAGCTTCAGCTCTCTAGGGTTTGTGAGGAAGGGTAGGGACCCGCCTAGCCACACCTGGCTAACTTCCTCTTTCAGCTTCCTCTCTCTCCAGTCATGGGGTAGGGGCCCACCCAGCTGCTCCGGCTTACAGCTCCCTCTCTCTGGGCAGGGGGAGTGGGGTGATAGCTCAGTCCTCAGGCTCTCCCCGCCACCTTTTGGGCTTATGCATCGGTTTAGGTCTGTGTGCCAATCCAAGATATCATCCTGGATTATCTTTCTACTCCACGCTTGTAATTCCCGGTGCTTGACAGGCAAAGGTCCCTTGTTCTGTGTATTGCTGAGGCTTTCAGGGAAGCGCTGTATCTGGACCAGCGTGCGAGAGGTGGAGCCTCCGACTGGCTGGTCAGATGCACTTTCTGGGTGAAACAGCACCCCTCCCCGCCTTGGTCTGCCTTGAGTAGGCTTTGCTCACTGTCAGACCAGACCCGTTGAAATGCACCTGGTACCTCAGTTGGAGCTAGGAGATCTCTGGATTTCTGCATCTCTCTCGCTGAGTGTTGTGTGCTGGAGTTGTGTCTGATCGACCATCCATAAAATATTTTTTTTAAATGGTACACCATGAATGAAGCTTGTAGGACTGGAAGTTGTTCTGGGTGTCTGTGAGTGAGCGGTGAGTCAATGTGAAGGGCATTACTGTACACTGCTGTAGACTTTTTGAGCACTGTACTCATAGGCTACAACAAATGTATTAAAAGCTTTCTTTCTTCAATAACGAACCTTAGCTTAGTATAACTTTTTACTTTATAAATTTTTAATTTTTTAAACTTTTTGACTTTTATAATAACATTTAGCTTTAACTTTTTGACTTTTTTATAATAACACTTATATAAACACATTGTATAGCTATACAGAAAACATTTTCTTTCTTTACATTTTGTATTTTTAAGTTTTTTTTCTTTTCTTTTAATATGTTCTGTTAAAAATGGAGAAACAGGCCAGACATAGTGGCTCATGCCTGTAATCCTAGTACTTTGAGAGGTCAAGATGGGAGGATCATTTGAGCCCAGGAGTTCAAGACTAGCCTGGGCAACATAATGAGGCCCTGTCTGTATTTTATTTAAAAAATTAGAAACAAAAAATTAAAAAAAATTTGAAGACACAAACACATATGTTATCCTAGATTTACACACGGTCAGTATCATCAATATCACATTCTTCCACCTCCACATCTTGTCCCACTGGAAGGTCTTCAGGGACAATAGAAAAACATGGAGCTGTCATCTCCTATAACAATACCTTCTTCTGGAATATTCCTGAAAGACCTGCCTGAAGCTGTTTTACAGATAACTTTTTTACAGTAAATAGTAGGAGTACACTCTGAAATAACAAAAAGTATTGTGTAGTAAATACATAAAACAATAACATATTCATTATTATTACCAAGTATTATATGTTGTACATACTTATATGTGCTGTACTTTTATATGACTGTCAGCACAATAGGTTTGTTTACACCAACATCACTCCAAACACATGAGTAATGCATTGCACTACAGTGCCACTGGGCGACAGGAATTTTTCAGCTCCATTATAATATTGGGACAGGCATTGTATATGCAGTGCATGACCATATATACGCTCAAAAGACAGTTATATTTCTCTAATGTAATTATTTTGAATATGCAATTTTATAAAGGTAAAAGTTAAATATACAGTTTAACAGTGCAATGTCATAATATAAAGTGATTCTTATATGTATTATCTTTGTAGGTTTGTTCAAAAAAGATGATAACAATGTTAGCATTATATGGTTATACTCCACAATTTGGGGTTAATTTTTTTTGTGTGTGTGTGAGACGAAATCTCTTTTTGCCACCAGGCTGAAGTGCTGTGGCATGATCTTGGCTCACTGCAACCTCCACCTCCCAGGTTCAAGTGATTTTCCTGCCTCAGCCTCATGAGTAGCTGGGACTACAGGTGTGCACTAGCATGCATAGCTAATTTTTGTATTTTTAGTAAAGACAGGATTTCACCATGTTGACCAGGATGTTCTTGATCTCTTGACCATCTGATCTGCCTTCCTCAGCCTTCCAAAGTGCTGGGATTACAGACATGAGTCACTGCGCCTGGCCTAAATTAGTGTTTTAAGAGAATAAAATGTACATGAAAACATAAATACACAGTATAACTAATGGAAGATGTAGAAGTGAGATGATACATTAGTAAGATCCTCGTATACCTTGGGGTGAACTTCTGCTTACCTGGTGTGTGAACTTCTGCTTACTGGTGTGTGATGTGTCAGAATTTTAGTGATATAATAATAGAATTAAATAATGAGCTCTTCATCACTGTTTGAGCATGAGCTAAATAACCATCCGGCAAAGAGGTTATAGACTGGATTCCTTCACAAGTGGGAATTTAAGTTTCCATTAAGTTCCTTTTATACTTTCAGATTCCGATTCTTGATTTTAAGATCCATACCTTATTTACTTTTTAACATTTCTGAAATCAAGATACATCTTCAAATTGTTGAATAAACATTTAATGAAGTGTTTCTTTACTTTTCCTAAAAAGTTATTTAAATAAGGGTGTGTCCTGGAATTGAGGAAATAAAATAATTGATGCTATTTGGCTTCAAGTTTTAAAAAAATAAACTCAAGCTAGCTGAAGAGAAAAGAAAACTGGAGCAGGCTGAGAGCAGAGCAGGCAGTATTTACCATAAGGATATAGAAGTGCCTTATCAAACTAAAAACACCAGAAAGGCAGTTGGACTTCAAAGATTATTTGGAGTCAGGAAACGAAACCCAAAAAGAAACAAGATTTCTTCTCCTTGCTGTCTTTCTTTATACACTTATATTCTTTCTTTGCAGAATCACTTATTTCACATAAAGATGGTTTTGACACAGTTTGTATAACCCACAATTCAAGATGTATAATCTTTAAGACTAAACTAAGTTGACTAAACTAGGGTCCCTTAGTTTTAATTCTAATACTTATATAAACCAAGATGGGTTAAATTTACACCCTGATTCCATCAATGGTGGTCATAGTGTGAAGAGTCGCAAAATAAAAATGGAACAAGAACCTGCTCTGCCAGCCAGCAAGGACAATTAAGAGGCACTATGAAGAAAGTGAACCCCTCAATATGTTATGTATCTTCTGTATATTGTCTTACTCAATGAACTAAAGGTGGAAACTAAAGGAAACAGAACTTCCTAAAGCATTTCTTCCCTTCTTCCATGCCTATTTTCTAATTTCTACCAGTTGTGTGAAATGTTTTTATGGATGAGATGAATGCTTTCCAAAAGAGAAGTTCAAGCTGTTGCTAAAGGTTTTATTTAATCTAGATTCCTTAGGATTTCATAGAAGTTTTGAAAGTTTTCTAAGATTGGTATTTTGAGAGAGAGAACACTGCTTAGAGTATGAGGTGTCGGAATTGTCAGAAATAATCATCAAGTCCAATCCTAGCGTTTACAGGCAAAGTTTGTTTCTGTATCTACTTGTATTATAGAATGATTTTTTTTTCCTGTTCAAAGTGATAATACTCTGCATCATCGAAGTGACTGTCATCCTCATGCTGATCTTCCTCAGGAATCGAATCCGAGTGGCCATTATCCTGCTAAAGGAAGGAAGCAAGTAAGACCCCTAATGTAGAAACTGAGCTAAAGTGTATGCGTCAGCAAAACTCAGTCACTGTCCCTTGCATAAATGTCTTACATGTTTTCCTTTTAAGAAAACTTTTAAAAGAAAGCATTCTCCATTCTGGAAAACTTGTTCAAGTTAACACTCTGCCACTTATTAGAAAAATCACCACTAGCAAGTCCTTTAATATCCCGAAACCTCAATTATCATAGGGTAAAATAAGGGTAAAACCTACCTAGTGTATGTATTAGCATTTTTTGAAAACCAAATATGTGTTAGGAGAATGACACGTGAAAGTAAGTCATAAAATGCTATATAAAAGCTAGCTAGATTACATGTTATATTATTTTCATACTGGGTCATATGTTCATATTTATGGTTGAGATTATTTGCAAAACTTTAAATCACTATAATTCTATAAAGTCAATTATATCCTATTGCCACTTCTGTCTGAGTGACAAAATTTTCTAATAGACAGGACAATTGATTCTAGCAGCACCAGACTATACATTTCATATCTAAAGCTCATAATTTAGGAACACTTTATACCCAGAGCCATTTTCATTTTATTTAAGTTACAAAATAAGCACTAAATCTTTCATAAAATTCATGCCGTGAGATAACAATGCCTATAGTTTCCACACTATTCCAAAAGGTCACTCAAGAATAATACTCTGGACTTTTTAATAATGCATGGAAGTAACTGGGAAAGCATTATTATAAAGCTAACAGCCCATGCTCTCTACTTAGCATGATGGAAACTACATTGTTAATGATCAAGAACCAAATTATTTTTAACAGTCTTTAAGGATTAATTCACCAAAATTACCATATTATTTTATTATAATAGTGCCACCTGAAGCCAGTGCTTTAAATAGTTAACAAGCAGTTAGTTAAACTCTCTCTCCTCACAATAACAGAAGCCCTATCATTAGCCTCTGAAGACTACTGATTTTCTGGGTTTATTTCTTAAGTAGTATGATATCGTGCAGCTCACTGTATCTTGCTCTACTTGTTACATTTCTAAATGTGCATTTGTATGAGCATATGTGTTTGTGTTAAACTTCCAGTAAAATTGCAACAGGTTGATAGTTTGCTCAGGGGATAATAAGGACTGAAATAAATAGGCATGAGAATACAGGGTAAGCCTAAGGACACACAATAATTAACAGCAGTATATGGAGAAAAGAGAAAACAGTATAGCTTAAATAGTGAGGGGAAGAAGGTAGCAAATACAAAATGAATATAAGCATTAGGAGTGCTTATATTCCTAATGAATCCTATCACTCCTAATGAATGCATTAGGAATGATAAGATTTTCACTTAATTTCTCAGTGGCCATAAGAAACTGTGTTGTTTATCCAGTGTCATATGCTGAAAGGTCATGTAACAGAAGTCATTAGAAGTAGTGCAATCAGATAGTGAATATTTCACAAGCCATGTCCTATTAGAAAATATCAAAGAAATTATTATCCTTGATAATTTTCTAAAATTGCATTTTAGAAATTTAATTTTTATATATAATTTAAATTTGTAATTTAAAAATACATGTAACTGCAAAGAGAAATTATATTTTTCAAAGGAAAAATAAATAAGGAATTACCTGAAGGGTTGCTATGTGGAAAAAATGGTAAAGTGGTCATTTCTTCTCCAGAAGTTAGAGGATATAAGTTACAAACAGGCAGATATGGAAGAAATTTCTAATACCTTGATAAGAAAATAGAATAAGTCATGTCATGCAAAAGTAAGTACCCATCACTCAACATGTTCACCAAAGGCTGGTGAACACATTCTGAAGATAGTATAAGGGATTCCTGAATTAGTGGGGGATTCCCACAGTGTGACACATGATCTTCAAAGTCTTCTTCAATTTTGGAAGACTAAGAATCTAAATAAAAGAAAGAAATGTCATGACTGCAATGTATCAAATCTTCATGGGTCAGAAAGAAGTAACCAAAGGGAGGAAATCTGTGGAACTTTAGGCAGGAGTTGAACGTGCATGGGAAAAATGCCTCAACTAACTTTTAAAAATAAGTAAATAAGTAAACCAAAATGTAAAACCAACCGAGAATATGTCAGAATGATCAAAAAAGAGTCCATGGTTATTACCAGTTTTCTTTGAATTGATTCGGTCTAAGGCTTACTTCTAGTTTTAACAATCATTTTGAATTTCAACTATTTGTTTTATTTCAGAGCCATTGGATACATTCCTAGTACATTAGTTTATCCAGCTTTAACTTTCATTTTGCTCTCAATCTGCATTTGCTATTGGGTCGTGACAGCAGTGTATCCTTTGGTAACTGGCCTCTCTAAACCTCAGGTTCACATGACTATTCATGAACCAGTAGTTTGTGTTCAGTGTTTTCTATCCCTGGGAAGATGAGAAATATCCTACAGAAATAACTGATTTTTTCCCCCAAGTTCTAAAAACATCTCAGTTTACTGATTGAATTTCCCCTCAAATAGTTCTTATTATAGATTTATTTTGTCTCCACATATGATACTGCTCCTTAGCAATAAGCCAAGAAAGTGCCTATACATTTTACTGTTTTTAAGGGGCCACTCAGTGTAGCTGGCCCACATATTAATCTAGGCCTGAAAAATAGATGAATATTATTAAAATGTTTGGCATTTTGGAAGTTAATTTCTCATGCACTTTTGAGTTATCTATATTGTTTTCTTGTATATTTATTTTCAATCTACCAGCAATTAGTTTATCCTTAATGGAGTCTATTCAGTTTCTTGGCCACGTCAGGGGTACCTGTATACAAAGTCATAGCCCCAGAGGGGCACTGTATACATGAAAATCAAACCTGTGACCCAGAGGTAAGAAACGCCTTTACTTGCTTCAGTTACTTACTTCAATATAGAAACTCTTTTATTTACTTACTTCAATATAGAATTCTGCTGCAGTTCATTTTGTAGTTGTAGGAATTGTCCTGAAACAAAGATCCTATGCACTGATGGAGACCACTATGTGCTGAAGGGGAGGGTGCATCAGGTTAGCAGGAGTATTGAAAACACCAGGCAGAATAGAGAGAAAGCACTGTATTTCCTGAGCTTTCCTGTCCATATAGCCAAGACCATACAAAGTAGGTTTGGTCGACAACAACACTGATAAATGTGAGATTAGAATAGGTACAGATTATGAGCATTCAATGGAAAATGAGACATTTTCCAGAGCTCATTAGAGAATTATATAAAGTAATATGATGGAAAAATAGAGGAGTAATAGCAGGATATAATAGAGAAGAAACAGAGCTTGCAATTAGGGGGAAGAGGAAAAGACAGGGAAGTGTTATCTTAGAGTGACATTTAATATGACGTTCTATGTTCTTTTTTTCTGAATGCAGATTTTTAATACAACTGAAATTGCCAAAGCTTGTCCTGGGGCTCTGTGTAGCTTTGCTTTCTATGGTGGAAAGAGCTTGTACCATCAATACATCCCTACCTTTCATGTATACAACTTATTTGTCTTTCTCTGGCTTATAAACTTTGTCATTGCATTGGGTCAGTGTGCCCTTGCTGGTGCATTTGCTACTTATTACTGGGCCATGAAAAAACCTGATGACATCCCACGATACCCACTTTTTACTTCATTTGGACGAGCCATACGGTAAGTTCCATGTTGAACCCTACACTTATCACTTTTAGTGTGCTTGTAATTCAGTCTTAGCTCATTAATTCAACTGGCAAGGTACAAATAAGGTCAAAGGTATGATTCAAGATTCATGGGTGCCCATTGGTTTTGTCTGGTTTCACAGCCACAGTTGTGGCTGCCCAAGCCAATTTCCTTCTAAATGCTGTAGGTTACTAGAGAAAGAAAGAGATAGAGGAGGACACCAGATGAAAGATTGAGGATTAACTTGGCTCTCCATTGAGCGGTTGAAACATCCTATTTTGTGATGTTAGACTATTGGTGTCATTTATGTTAATGAAAGGTGAGACAGATGTATATGGCTTAAAACCCTCTGTGGAGATCTTTATCAGTCTAAAAAAGAGGGTGAAAAAGGCTCTTTGTTGTTAATCCTTCTGCAGATACCTTTTAATTTTGAAAAATATTCAATTAGCATCCTTTTAAATAATAGTAAAGTTTTAACTTATTCTCATTTTATTTTTGTGCAGATATCACACAGGATCCCTAGCATTTGGATCTTTAATTATTGCATTAATTCAAATGTTTAAAATTATCTTAGAATATTTGGACCACCGTCTTAAACGTAAGATTTCAGAATTTATCTCAGATGTCCTGACTTTTATGAAGAGAATAAATTGGGTTGGGGGTTGGGGGAGACCTGATGATTATAACTTGGACTAAAGTAGTAAGGATGGAAGGGCATGTTTGGGACCTGTTCTGTTCTGAAGAAAAACCAGAGAGAACTTGCTGAAGGATTGGATATCAGTGGAGGGGAGGGGAGGAGAGGGACTTTGGTGAAAAAAAGAGAGAAAAGGTATGTGATTCTATTTATTAAGCTGTGGAAGGCAGGAGAAACAAATTTCAAAAAGAGATTAAGAATTCTGTTTTGAGATGTTATTGTTGAGAAGCAAGATGGAGATGTCAGGTAGGCAGTTCCAATTCTATAGTTCAAGTCAGGTTAGGCTGAAAATATTAACATGAATGTCACAGGGATAAACCTTCATACCTAATATATATTGTTAACAAACACATAAATTTTGCTTGGAATATACATTAAAAGATTTTATTATTAATAATGAAAGCAGACTTGAAAAGGAACAAAAAAGCTGGAAGACTCACACTCCCTGATTTTGAAACTTATTATAAATCTACAGCAATCAAGAGTGTGGTACTAGCAAAAGAACAGACATATAGAGCTAGAATAAAAGAGAAATCCCAGAAATTAACTCTCACATATAAGACCATTCAATGGGAAAAGGTCAGTCTTTTCAATTAAAAGTGCTGGGAATATTGGATATCCACATGTAAAAAAATTAAGTTCGATCTTATCTTATATTAATATACAAAAATTAACCAAAAATGGATCAAATACCTAAACATAGGACTAAAGCTATAAAACTGTTAGAAGAAAACATGATATGAAAGGTTCATGACATTGGATTTGGTGATTATTTCTTAGAATCCCAAAAGCATAGGCAACAAAAGAAAAATAGATTGAACTTCTTCAAATTTAAAAATACTTGCTCAACAAAGTACACTACCAAGGGAGTGAAAAGACAGCCCACATGATGGAAGAACACATTTGCAAATCATATACCAGATAAGGAATTCATATCCAGAATATATAAAGAATTTCTACAACTCAACACAAAAAAATGAACAACCCAATTAAAAAATGGACAAAGAACTTGAATAGACATTTCTCCAATGAGAATATACAAATGGCCAATGAGGACATGAAAAGATGCTTAATATCAGAGGGCTCCAAGATGGCCGAATAGGAACAGCTCTGGACTGCAGCTCCCAGCTAACATGCAGAGGGTGAGTGGTCACCACATTTCCAAACACATTTTTATTTCCCAAAGACCAGGAGATTCCCAGGCAGAAAAGCACCACGAGTCTCCAGCATGGCTGTTTCAGCCATCACAGCAGGTCTCTGCACAAAAACTCACACAAATCCAGGCACCATTTAAACTGGCAACTGGAATGCCTGGGAGACAGAGTCGCCCATTCAACTGATAAAAAGAGGACTGAAAGGGAACCAGGCCAACAGATTCCTGAGCAGAAAAGTACCACAAGTCACTAGCATGGCTGTTTCAGCTAGCACAGTGGGTCTCTGTGCAAAAACTCACATAAATCTGGACACCTTTTCACCTGGTGAATAGAACACCTGGGAGACAGAGTTGCCCATTCAACTGAACAAAAGGGGACTGAAATAGGGAGCCAGGCCAGGAGATTCCTGGGTGAAAAAGTGCCACGGGTCTCCAGCATGGATGTTTCAGTGAGCGCAGTGGGTCTCTGCACAAAAACACAAATCCGGGCACTGTTTCAACTGGTGACTGGAATGCCAGGAGACACAGTCATTCATTCAACTGAAAAAAAAAAAGGGGGACTGAAACAGGGAGCCAGGTGATCTGGCTTGGCTGGTCCCACCCCCACAAAGAACAGCAATCTGAAACTCTCTGGACTGAGAGTTTCACAGCAAGCACCACTGAACCCAGGATGGTCCAGGTCTGTGGGGGAAGAGTGTCTGCCATTACTGAGGGAATCCACCATTACCAAGGCAATCTGCCATTACTGAAGCAGTCTGCCATTACAGAGAGAGTCTGCCATTACAGAGACAGACTGTCATTACTGAGGCAGTTCTAACTATACCCCTATAAACAAAACTGCAAGGAAGTTCACATAGCAGCTGGGCAGAGCCCACGGCAGCACAGCAATGCCTCTGCTGGCAGACTGTGACTAGGCTACCTCCTCACTGGGCAGGACATCCCTGAAAAAAGGCAGCAACATGACAGGAACTTATAAATAAAGCCCTACCTTCCTGGCACACAGCACTTGGAGGAAAAAAGGTGGTTATGAGTTCTGCTGTGGCAGACTTAAACATACCCAGCAGCTCTGAATGGAACAACAGAGTTCACAGCTCAGCACTTGAGCTCTGGTAAACGACAGACTGTCTCCTCAAGCAGCTCCCCGGCCCCCATATATCCAAAGAGTCACCTCATAAAGAAGAGCTCAGACTGACATCTGGTGGGTACCCTTCTGGGACAAAGCAGAAGAAAAAACTGGCAGCAACTCTTACTGTTCTGCAGCTGCTGCAGGTGATCCCCAGGGAAGCAGGGTCTAAAGTGGACCTCCAGCAGTCCTACAGCAGAGGGGCCTATTAGAAGGAAAACTTAGACACAGAAAGTAATAACTTCATTGTCAACAAATAGGACATCCACTCAGAGATCCCATCTGAAAGTCACCAACTACAAAGACCACAGGTAAATAAATCCACAAAGATAGGAAGAAACTGGCACAAAAACAATGAAAACACCCAAAACAAGAACCCCTCTACTCCTCCAAGGGATCACAACTACTCACCATCAAGGGAATAAGGCTGGATGGAGAATGAGTCTGATGAATTGACAGAAACAGGCTTCAGAAGGTGGGTAATAAGAAACATTTCTGAGCTAAAAGAACATGTTCTAACCAATGCAAAGAAACTAAGAACATTGAAAAAAGGTTTAATGAATGCTAAAGAGAATAAACAGCTTAGAGAGGAATATAAATGAATAGAAGCTGCTGAAAAACACAACACAAGAACTTTTTAAAGCCTACACAAGTTTCAGTAGCCAAATTGACCAAGTAGAAGAAAGGATATTAGACATTGAAGCTCAACTCAATGAAATAAAACGAGAAGGCAAGATTAGAGAAAAAAGCATAAAAAGAAATGAACAATGCCTCCAAGAAATATGGGATTATGTGAAAAGACTTAATCTACGTTTGATAGGTGTACCTGAATGTGATGGAGAGAATGAATCCAAGCTGGAAAACACTTTTCAGGAGACTATCCAGGAAAACTTCCCCAACCTAGCAAAGCAGGCCAATATTCAAGACAAGGAAATACAGAGAATACCACAAAGATATTCCTCAAGAAGAGCAACCCCAAGGCACATAATCATCAGATTCACCAGGGCTGAAATGAAGGAGAAAATGCTAAGGACAGCCAGAGAGAAAGGGTGCGTTATCCACAAAGGGAAGCCCATCAGACTCACAGCAGATCTCTCAGCAGAAACCCTACAAGCCAGAAGAGAGTGGGGACCAATATTCAACATCCTTAAAGGAAATAAATTTCCACAAAGAATGTCATATTTAGTCAAACTAAGTTTCATAAGTGAAGGAGAAATAAAATCCTTTATGAACAAGCAGTTACTCAGAGATTTCATCACCACCAGACCTACTTTACAAGAGCTCTGGAAAGAAGCACTAAACATAGAAAGGAACAACCAGTACCAGCCCCTCCAAAAACATGCCAAATGGTATAGATCATCGACACAATGAAGAAACTGCATCAACTAACAGGTAGAACAAACAGCTAGCATCAAAATGGCAGGATCAAATTCATGCATAACTATATTAACCCTAAATGTAAATAGGCTAAATGCCCCAATCAAAAGACACAGACTGGTAAATTAAATAAAAAGTCAAAACCCATTGGTGTGCTGTATCTAGGAAACCCATCTCACATGCAAGAATACAAATAGGATCAAAATAAAGGGAGAGAGGAAGATTTACCAAGGAAATGGAGAGCAAAAAAAGCAGGAGTTGCAATCATCTCTGATAAAATAGTCTTTAAACCAACAAAGATCAAAAGAGACAAAGAAGGACATTACATAATGGTAAAAGGATCAATGCAACAAGAACAGCTAACTATCCTAAATATATACGCACGCAATACAGGAGAACCCATATACATAAAGCAAGTTCTTAATGACTTATCCTACACAATAATAATGGGAGACTTTAACTCTCCACTGTCAATATTAGACAGATCAACCAGACAGAAAATTAAAATGGATATCCAGGACTTGAACTCAGACCTGGAACAAGCAAACCTAATAGATATTTACAGAACTCTCCACCCCAAATCCATAGAATATACATTCTTCTCAGCACCACATCACACCTACTCTAAAATTGACCACATAATTGGAAGTAAATCACTCCTCAGCAAATGCAAAAGAATGGAAATCATAACAGTCTCTCAGCCCATAGTGCAACCTAGTTAGAACTCAGAATTCAGAAACTAACTCAGAACCACACAGCTTCATGGAAACTGAAAAACCAGCTCTTGAATGTTGACTGGATAAACAATGAAATGAAGGCAGAAATAAAGATATTCTTCAAAAACAATAAGAATGAAGACACAACATACCAGAATCTCTGGGACACATTTAAAACAGTGTCTAGAGGAAAATATATTGCAATAAATGCCCACATGAGAAGCAAGGAAAGATCTAAAATTGACACTGTATTATCAAAATGAAATGAGCTAGATGAGCAAGATAAAAAAAAACTCAAAAGCTAGCAGAAGACAAGAAATAACTAAATCAGAGCAGAACTGAAGGAGATAGAGACACAAAAAATCCCTTCAAAAAATCAATAAATCCAGGAGCTGGTTTTTTGAAAAGATCAACAAAATAGACCACTAGCCCAATTAATAAAAACGAAAAGGGAGAAGAATCAAATAGATGCAATAAAAAACGATAAAGGGGATATCACCACAGATTCCACAGAAATACAAACCACCATCAGAGATTACTACAAACAGCTCTATGCACATAAACCAGTAAACCTCAAAGAAAAGGATAAATTCCTGGACAGTCACCCTCCCAAGCCTAAACCAGGAAGAAGTCAAAACGCTGAAGAGACCAATAACAAGGTCTGAAGTTGAAGCAGCAATTAATAGCCTACTCACCAAAAAGAGCCAGGTACAGATGGGTTCACAGCCGAATTCTACCAGACATACAAAGAGGATCTAGTACCACTCCTTCTGAAACTATTCCAAACAATCCAAAGAGAGGCAATCCTCCCCAAATCATTTTATGAGACCAACATCATCCTGATACCAAAATCCAGCAGAGACTCAACAAGAAAAGAAAACTTAAGGCCAATATCCATGATGAACATAGATGTAAAAATCTTCAACAAAATATTGGCAAACTGATTGCAACAGCATATCAAAAAGCTTATCCATCACGATCAACTAGGTTTCATCATGAGAATGCAAGGCTGGTTCAACATACACAAGTCTATAAACATAATTCTCCACATAAACAGAATCAAAGAAAAAAAACCACATGATTATCTCAACTGATGCAGAGAAGGCCTTTGACAAAATTCAACAGCTCTTTATGCTAAAAACTCTCAATAAAATAGGTATTGATGGAATGTATCTCAAAATAATAAAAGTTATTTATGAAAAACCCACAGCCAATATAATATTGAATGGGCAAAAACTGGAAATATTCCCTTTGAAATTGGGCACTAGACAAAGATGCCCTCTCTCACCACTCCTATTCAATATAGTATTGGAAGTTCTAGCCAGAGCAATCAGGCAAGAAAATGAAATAAAGGGTATTCAATTAGGAAAGGAGGAAGTTAAATTGTCTCTATTTGCAGATGACATGACAGTATATATAGAAGACCCCATCGTCTCAGCCCAAAAACTCCTGAAACTGATAGGCAACTTCAGCAAAGTCTCAGGATACAAAATTAATGTGCAAAAATCACATTCATTCCTATACACCAATAACAGACAAACAGAGAGCCAAATCAAGAGCAAACTCCCATTTGCAATTGCTACAAAGAGAATAAAATACCTAGGAATACAACTAGCAAAGGATGTAAGGGACCTCTTCAAGAACTACAAACCAAATGCTTAACGAAATAAGAGAGGACACAAACAGATGGAGAAACATTCCATAATCATGTTTAGGAAGAATCAATATTGTGAAAATGGCCATACTGCCCAAAGTAATTTACGGATTCAATGCTATCCCCATCAACCTACTAATGACCTTCTTCACAGAACTGGAAAAAACTACCTTAAACTTCATATGGAACCAAAAGATAGCCCACATAGCCAAGTCAATTATAAGAAAAAAGAACAAAGCTGGAGGCATCACACTACCTGACTTCAAACTATACTACAAGGCTACAGTAATCAAAACAGCATGGTACTGGTACCAAAATAGAGATCTAGACCAATGGAACAGAGGCCTTGGAGGCAATGCCACACATCTACAACCATCTGATCTTTGACAAACCTAACAAAAACAAGCAATGTGGAAAGGATTACCTGTTTAATAGATGGTGTTGGGAAAACTGGCTAGCCATGTGCAGAAAGCAGAAACTGGACCCCTTCCTGACACCTTACACTAAAATTAACTCCAGATGGATTAAAGACTTAAACATAAGACCTAACACCATAAAAACCCTAGAAGAAAATCTAGGCAAAAGCATTCAGGACATAGGCATGGGCAAGGACTTCATGACTAAAACACCAAAAGCATTGGGAACAAAAGCAAAAATAGACAAATGGGACCTAATTAAACTCCAGAGTGTCTGCACAGCAAAAGAAACAATCATTAGAGTGAATTGTCAACCAACAGAATGGGAAAAAATTTTTGCAATCTACCCATCTGACAAAGCGCTAATATCTAGAATCTACAAAGAACTAAAACAGATTTACAAGAAGGAAACAAGCACATTCAAAAGTGGGCAAAGGACATGAACAGACTCTTTTCAAAGGAAGACATATGAGGCCAACAAACATACGAAAAAATGCTCATCATCACTGGTCATTAGAGAAATGCAAATCAAAACTACATTGAGATACCATCTCATGCCAGTTAGAATGGCGATCATTAAAAATCTGGAGACAACAGATGCTGAAGAGGATGTGGAGAAATAGGAACACTTTTACACTGTTGGTGGGAGTGTAAATTAGTTCAACCATGTGGAAGACAGTGTGGCAACTTCTCAAGGTCCTATAAATTCCATTTCACCCAGGATTCCCATTACTGTATATATAGCCAAAGGATTATAAATCATTCAACTATAAGGACACATGCACACGAATGTTCATTGCAGCACTGTTTATAATATCAAAGACTTGGAACTAACCCAAATGCCCATCAATGATAGAATGGACAGGGAAAATGTGGCACATATACACCATGGAATACTATGCAGCCATAAAAAAACAATGAGTTCGTGTCCTTTGTAGGGACTTGCATGAACCTGGAAACCATCATTCTCAGCAAACTGACACAAGAACAGAAAATCAAACACCACATGTTCTCACTCATAGGTGGGTGTTGAACAACGAGAACACATGGACACAGGGAGGGGAGCATCACACAGTGAGGTCTGTGGGGGGAACTAGGGAAGGGACAGCGGTGGGGGGGAATTGTGGAGGGATAACATGGGGAGAAATGCCAGATATAGGTGATGTGGAGGAAGGCAGCAAACCACATTGTCATGTATGTACCTATGCAACAATCTTGCATGTTCTTCACATGTACCCCAAAACCTAAAACACAATAAAAAAATACATATATTTTAAAAGATGCTTAATTTCACTAGTCATTAGTGAAATGCAAATCAAAACCACAATGAGATATCACTCCATACACATTAGAATGGCTATTATATATATGAAAAAACAACACACACACACAAACAGAAAATAACAACTTGGTAAGAATGTGAAGAAATTGGGACCCTTGTGTATCACTGGAGGGAATGCCAAATGGTGTAGTCACTGTAGAAAATGGTATGGCAGTTTCTAAAAAAACTTAAAATATAATTTTATGTGACCCAGAAATCCTGCATCTAGTTATATATGCAAAGAATTGAAAGCAGGAACTTAAACCGATACTTGCGCATCACTGTTCATAACAGTATTATTCAGAGTAGCCAGAAGGTATAAACAACCCACATTCCCATCAACAAATGAATAAATAAACAAAATTAGTCTTTTCAACTAATGGTGCTGGGAAAATATACAATGAAATATTATTCAACCTTAAAAAGGAAAGAAATCATGAACCTTGATAACATCATGCTATGTGAAATAAGCAAGATACAAAAGGATAAATATTATATGATTTCTCTTATTTGAGGCACCTAGAAGCAGCAAATTTATACAGACAAAATATATAATAGAGATTACTAGGCACTGGGGGAAGAGGGGAATGAGGAGTTACTGTTTAAGGGCATAGAATTCCTACTTGAGATTTTAAAGTTCTGGAAATGGATAGCAGTGATGGTTGTACAACATTATAAATGTATTCAATGCCACTGAACTGTACACTTAAAAATGGTTCAAATAGCAAATTTTATAGTATGTATATTTTATGACAATACAAACTTTAAATCTCATTCTAAATGTTGTATTATTATTTAGTTTGATTCATAATGTTTGGCTGCACATCATTAGTAGATTTAAATACCCCCTTCTCATAGGTACCCAGAACACACTTTCTAAATTCCTACAATGCTGCCTGAGATGCTGTTTCTGGTGTTTGGAAAATGCAATAAAGTTTCTGAACAGAAATGCCTATATTATGGTAGGTAGATTATTTTTATTTACTAAGCTGCTTCTTTGTAATCCCAAACCTTATGTCTACATTGCCCTTTCTAAAGCACTTTTACATCATGCAGTTGAATTTATCATCATGCTGATAGAAGGACTGTGCATCCAATGCACAATTCAGGGATATGCTTTCCTATCTGAGACAGTATCTAAACTATACTTTATTATTACCTTCAATATCTTTTTTGAGAGAAACAATGTTACGTACATTGGAAACTTTTAAGTGTGTTGGATAGAAAATGGTTGTGTGTGTCTTTGTCATAGTTTAGTGAGAAGAAAGCATGTTTAATCTCTGAAAAGAAAATACTTTCTAATTCTGGAATTTACATAATTTTAAAGAAGGGTCTTATCCTTTTTATGAATCTGTTTCAAAATGTGTGAACATTAACAGTGCTTGACAGTTTTACTTGTTTCCTATCAAAATGGAAACTCCTAAGTGGTTTTTTAGCATATGGGATCCAGAAATATAATTCTTCTAAAACTTAGAAAGCTAAAGTATAACCTTATGACATTTGCTTATTATCATAGCAGCACAGGGTCTGGAAAAGTGATTGGAATAGTTATGGAGATTCAAATAGTCATTAATTTACCTCCAGTGAGAGTATTATGTTGAGCCTCTTAATCAATAAATCAAGTGTAATAAAAGGCATTGGGTTTCCTTAAGAGTAATTTTTTATGTAGAGACTACAATATTTAACCTTTTTAGCAATAAACTCTAGCCAAAACATTTGAAAGACAGAAGCTATTATTTGAAATTTGAGAAAAAGACCTGCCTCTGTTTAAGGATGTTTAATTCCTCAGAGCTTGAGGGCGTACAGCATCTGAAGCACACCTGATTGTCAGTGACCCTGAGAGTTGTGTAGAGCTGAGGATACACAGCATGTCCCACAGATCCACATGTTAGAAATAAGAGTTGGGATAGTTCTACAAATGACAGGAATTAATTTGGTTACCTTTCTGTCACTGGATTGTCCTTTGATTTGTTAGAGTGTGTTACTGACTCTGGAATAATATCAACTGTCTTCCTCAGATTGCAATATATGGCAGAAACTTCTGCAGGTCAGCAAAAGATGCTTTCAATCTGCTGATGAGAAATGTTTTAAAGTAAGTAATCAGGGTGAACATTGTAATTCAACAGTATAGTGAACCTTGAACATTACATCCTTCACGTGTTGTTATTTAAAGTGTTGGTGGGATTTTTAGATATGAATATTATCTTTTAACTTGATAGATTTAAATATTATCTCTCATATCATTAATTTATTTTCATATCTGATAATTGTTGCTTCCATCATTCACCTGTGTCTTTATGCCCACTGGCATTTTTTTATTTTTACTATCCCATCTGCTCAATAAATTCCCCCAGATGAACCACAGTATCATCTTTCCCCCTCTCAGAATTGGTGGAGCCTGAGTGAACAAAATCAGAGAACAATACAGCATCCTCAGGACTCAGCATGTCTATAGGCTTCAAATTAAAGAGAGGGAGACCGACACCACCACTGCAGGGCTCCTGACGGCCCTACAACGCCATCTTCTGTTTACATTAAAAATAAGTCAGAACATCGTCCATGAGTTCCACCTTCATTTCTTGCAAAACAATTGCCAAATACAGTTTCAGCAAAGACATACCAAAATAAACTCATGAATATTTACTGCCATAACTTTCAAGTACCAAGTATATAAACACAAAATTATACTTTCTTTTTTTTTCTGACACTCAGAGTTGCAGTTACAGATGAAGTTACATACTTTGTATTATTCCTGGGGAAAATTCTAGTTGCTGGAAGTATAGGTAAGTAATAATGATAAAATAATTAAAACGTTTAAAAGATGCTTGGAAGAACTGCTTTACTACAAAAAGAAAACTATATTCCTTTGCAAATGTATAATATACTTGTTCTACCTTTTCAATGTAGGTGTTCTGGCCTTCCTATTCTTCACACAAAGATTACCAGTGATTGCACAAGGACCAACATCTTTAAATTACTACTGGGTACCTTTGCTGGTAAGAGCTGGTGTTTGAGTCAGTCCAGGCTGCTATAACAAAAATGCTATAAACCATAAACTTAAACAAAAGAAATTTATTCCTCACAGTTCTGAAGGCTGGGAAGTCCAAGATCAAGGTGTCAGCTGACTTGATTTCTGGTGAGGGCCCTGTTCCTGGTGTGCAGAAAGACACCTTCCCATATCCTCACGTGGTGGGGAGAAAGATTATCTCTATCATTAATCTTCTTATAAGGACACTAATCCAATCCTTCTGACCTAATTACCTCCCAAAGGTCCTACCTTCAAGTCACATTGGGGCTTAGGGCTTCAACAAATTAATTTAGAGGGTACACAATTCACTTCCTAGCAGCTGACTCTTGTTGATTCTGTGTTTTATCAAAGATAGCACAATTCTAAAAAGGAATAGGAGAAATAATAATGATAGCTAACATTATTTGCCTTACTTTATACCAACCCACATTTCACTTTAGAGACTGGGTTCCTTGGAGATAAATCTAAGACAGAGGATTACATGTGGAAGGTATGTCAGGAAGCTGTCTCCTGAGATACACTGGTCAGAAAGTGAGGGCAGGATAGGTAGCAGGAGAAGCTGCCCTATGCCAGAGTTATAGCTGAGGCCTCAGAATTGCAGGACATGTGGCAAAGGGCCTAGGCCTTTGTATGCTGCACCAGACAGCTTTTGGCCATGAACTGATCCCTGCAGAGGGGGTATAACTCTGGGTGAGGCAATTCCCTGCAGGAAGGACAGTTCTTAGTGAGGAAGCAATTGAGTCATTCGCAGCCTGCATTTCCAACAATTGTGATGGATGAGGCAATGTAGATCTGGGTGAAGCTCTGCAGTATCTACCATTATATATATATATATATATATATATATAAACTCATTTAATCAATATGTCAGAAATACTGTCATTACTCATATTCTCCCCTCCCCCACTGCCAATTTTATATAGGAGGCACAGAGAGGTTAATTCACTTGTCGAGTGCCTGAGCTGTGATTCAAACCCAGGCAGTAGGTGCTCTTAATGCCTAACACTTTATTGCCTTGGTGTGAAAGATACTAAAGCTGAGATATTTTTGCTAGGTACTGTGGGTGGTGGTAAGAAAGTGGGGAGGTCATCAGTGATAGACTGGATAAAGAAAATGTATATACACCGTGTGTGTGTGTATAAAGATACACACACACCATGGAATACTATGCAGCTGTAAAAAAGAATGAGATCAAGTCCTTTGCAGCAACATGATGGAGTTGGAGGCCATTATCTTGAGCAAACTGATACAGGTACAGAAAACCAACTACTGCATGTTCTGACTTACAAGTGGCAGCTAAACACTGAGTACACATAGACATTAAGGAGGAAACAACAGACACTGACTGGTGCCTACTTGAGGGTGGGGGGTAGGAGGAGGGAGAAGATTGAAAAACTACTTATTGGGTACTATGCTTATTACCTTGGTGATGAAATAATCTGTACACCAAACCCTCATAACACACAATTTACTTGTATGACAAACCTGCACATGTACCCTCTAAACCAAAACTAAAAGTTAAAAAAATAAAATTAAAAAAAATTGAGGATTAGACACAACTCCAGCACACAACACGCAGCAAGAGAGACACAGAAATCCAGAGATCTCCCAGCTCCAACCGAGGTACCAGGTGCATTTCAATGGGTCTGGTCCAACGGATATCAGAGACTGAAGATCAACTCAATGAAATAAAAAGAGAAGGCAAGACAAGAGAAAAAAGAGTGAAAAGAAATGAACAAAGCCTCCAAGAAATATGGGATTATGTGAAAAGACCTAATTTACGCTTGATCACTGTACCTGAATATGATGGGGAGAATGAATCCAAGCTGGAAAACATGCTCCAGGAAATTAGCCAGGAGGACTTCCCAAGCCTAGCAAGGCAGTCCAACATTCAAATTCAAGAAATACAGAGAACTCCACAAAGATGTTCCTCAAGAAGAGTAACCCGAAGGCACATAATCATCAGATTCCCAGGGTTGAAATGAAGGAAAAAATGCTAAGCACAGCCAGAGAGAAAGGTCAGGTCACCCACAGAGGAAAGCCCATCAGACTCACAGCAGATTTCTTGGCAGAAACCCTACAAACCAGAAGAGAGTGGGGGGCAATATTCAACATCCTTAAAGAAAAGAACTTTGAACCCAGAATCTCATATCTAGCCAAACTAAGCTTCGTAAGTGAAGGAGAAATAAAATACTTTACAGACATGCAATTACTGAGAGACTTTGTCACCACCAGGCCTGCCCTACAAGAGCTCCTGAAAGAAGCACTAAGCATGGAAAGGAACAAGTACAAGGCACTGGAAAAGCAAACCAGTTGGCAAAGACCAAAAATGCAATGAAAAAAATGAGTCAACCAATGAAAAAGAAAACCAGCCAGTAACAAAATGGCAAGATCAAATTCACATATAACAATATTAATATTGAATGTAAATGGCCTAAATGCCCCAATCAAAAGACACAGACTGGCACACTGGATAAAAAGTCAGAACCCATCGGTGTGCTATATTCAAGAAACCCGTCTCACATACAAAGACACACAGACTCAAAATTAAGGGATGGAAGAAGATTTACCAAGCAAATGGAGAGCAAAAAAAAGCAGGGGTTACAATCCTAGTCTGTGATAAAATAGGCTTTAAAACAACAAAGATCAAAAGAGACAAAGAAGGACACTACATAATGGTAAAAGGATCAATCCAACAGGAACAGCTAACTATCCTAAATATATACAACCCCAACACAGGTGCACCCAGATACATAAAGCAAGTTCTTAATGACTTAAAACGAGATTTAGACTCCCACACAATAATAGTGGGAGAATTCAATACTCCACTGTCAATATTAGACAGATCAATGAGACCAAAAATTAACAAGGATATCCAGGACTTGAATGCAGAGCTGGACCAAGCAGATCTAACAGACACATACAGAACGTTCCACCCAAAATCCACGGAATATACAATTTTCTCAGCACCACATTCCACTTACTCTAAAATTGACCACATAATTGGAAGTAAATCACTCCTCAGCAAATGCAAAAGAACAGAAATCCTAACAGTCTATCAGACCACAGCACAATCAGACTAGAACTCAGGATCAAGAAACACACTCAAACCCGCACAACCACTTGAAAACAGAACAACTTGTTTCTCAGTGTCGACTAGATAAACAATGAAATGAAGGCAGAAATAAAGATGTTCTTTGAAACCAACCAGAATGAAGACACAACTTACCAGAATCTCTGGGACACCTTTAAAGCAGTGTCAAGAGGGAAATTTATAAGAATAAATGTCCACCAGAGAAGAGAGGAAAGATCTAAAATTGACACCCTATTGCCAAAATCGAAAGAACTAGAGGAGCAAGATCAAACAAACTCAAAAGCTAGCAGAAGACAAGAAATAACTAAGATCAGAGCAGAACTGAAAGAGACAGAGACACAAAAAACCCTTCAAAAAATCAATAGATCTAGAGCTGGTTTTTTGAAAAGATCAACAAAATATACCACTAGCCAGATTAATAAAAAAGAAAAGGGAGAAGAATCAAATAGATGCAATAAAAAACTATAAAGGGGATATCACCACTGATCCCACAGAAATACAAACTATCATCAGAGATTACTACAGACAGCTCTGTTCACATAAACCGGTAAACCAGGAAGAAATGGATAAATTCCTAGACACTTGTACTCTATCAAGACTAAACCAGGAGGAAGTTGAAACCCTGAATAAACCAATAACAAGGGCTGAAATAGAGGCAGCAATCAATAGCCTACCAACCAAAAAATGTCCAGGTCCATACGGGTTCACAGCTGAATTCTACCAGATGTACAAAGAGGAGCTGGTTCCCTTCCTTCTGAAACTGTATCAAATGATAGAAAAGGAGAGAATCCTCCCTAACTCATTTTATGAGACCAACATACAAACGACCCCATTCAAAAGTGGGCAAAAGATATGAACAGACATTTTTCAAAAGAAGACATATATGAGACCAACAAACATATGAAAAAATGCTCATCATCACTGGTCATTAGAGGAATGCAAATCAAAACCACACTGAGACATCATGTGACACCAGTTAGAATGGCGATCATTAAAAAATCTGGAGAAAACAGATGCTGGACAGGATGTGGAGAAATAGTAACACTCTTTCACAGTTGGGAGTGTAAATTAGTTCAACCATTGTGGAAGACAGTGTGGCAATTTCTCAAGGATCTAGAAATAGAAATTCCATTTGACCCAGCAATCCCACTACTGGGTATATACCCAAAGAACTATAGATTGTTCTACTATAAAGACACAGGCACACATATGTTCATTGCAGGCCTGTGTGCAATAGCGAAGACCTGGAACCAACCCAAATGCACATCAATGATAGACTAGACAAAGAAAATGTGGTACATATACACCATGGAATACTATGCAGCCATAAAAAACGATGAGTTCGTGTCCTTTGTAGGGACTTGGATGAATCTGGAAACCATCATTCTCAGAGACACAAGAACTGAAACCCAAACACCATTTGTTCTCACTCATAGGTGGGTGTTGAACAGCAAGAACATGTGAACTCAGGGAGAGGAGCATCACACACTGGGGGCAGTTGGGGGGTGGGTAGGGGAGAGACAGCGGGGGGTGGAGAGGGAGGGGAGGGTGAGGAGGGATAACATGGGGAGAAATTCCAGATATAGTATGCACCTAAAATAAAATAAATAAATTTTTAAAAAATATTCCAGAAATAAAAAACACTGGCATCAACTGATTGAAGGGACATAAAATCTCTTTGCTTGATACAGAAATCTGTTCTCTCTTTCTTCTAAAGAGCTGGGCATATGACCAGAGTCCCTGGATCACTGTGGTGAGAAGGGATGTTCTGTTATCTGGAACACCTATTATAAACTGTTACTTAGGGAGAAATACACTTCTATTTTATTAACAAAAAAAGAAAGAAAGAAAATACTACCAAAAGGAAAAAAAGGCGGGTAATTTAATAAAACTTGTTTAAGTCTCAGTACAAAGCATGCACAAGAATTATCATTGAACTTTTTGGTCTCTATGTGAAATCTTTTCCAATACAGAGTACTTCAAAACGTTCTCATTATGGCTTTCATTTATAGCTGCATTATTCTTCTTCTGGATGAAGTATATGACATGTTGGTTTTCTTCTCTACCCATTTACAGACAGTCATTTTTGGGTCTTACCTGATTGCACATGGGTTCTTCAGCGTCTATGCAATGTGTGTTGAAACAATTTTCATCTGCTTCTGTGAGTATTCAGTATGTGTGTTTTCCCCTTTCAGTGGATAACTAAAAGGTGAGATGGTGAAGGCCCATGTCCTTAGCTGGCTTGGGGAATCTACTGTTACCTGGCTGCAACCACAAAACATATTTATCTGGAAAGAGATATTTCTTAGTAGATGCTCCTTAAACCTTAATATCTGAGAAATAAGTCAGACACAGAGAGACAGATACTTTTTTATCTCATGTACATGTGGAATCTAAAAAAGTCAGACTCATAGACACAGAGTAGAAGGGTGATGACCAGAGATGGAGGGGTAAGTAAAATGGAGCAATGTTGGTCAAAGGGTACAAACTTTCAGTTATGCAGGATGAATAAATTATGGCACTCTCACGTACAGCATGGTGACTAGAGTTAATCATACTGGATTGTTAACTTGAAATTTGCCAAGATCTTAAGTATTCTCACCACACACACAAGAAGATAACTATGGGAGGTTATGGACATGTTCATTAGCGTGGCTGTGGCAATCATTTTACGATATGTGCATATATCAAAACATTATACACCTTAAATATTTACAATTGTTGTTAATTATACCTCAGTAAAGTCAGAGAAAAATATTATACCTCAACAAAACTTGAGGAAAAATATAAAATTGAAAAAGAAATATTACCAGCTAAGAGAATGGAGTTTGCAAAGCACAGAAGAGTCAACAACTTAAATGAAATTATTTTGTTCATTTCCTGATTGAAGTGAATAATAATAATTGGTTTCTGTCGTGCTTTGTTAACAGAAATGAAGACATAACTAGGCTCTGGGAACTAGATATGTGGGATTCTTTGAGGAAAGTATTTATAGATTCTGATAAAGCCAAGATGGCAAGGTGGTTTCAAGGACATATAGGGCCAATTTACACTGTGCATCACAATGACAAATGGATAGGATTTAGAGAGGAGAACTTCTAGGAAATAGTTGGATTAATTTTGATATGTAGAGTTAAAATATTTCTTTAGATCTTTCATCATTGACTACACACAACGCTCCTATAGTTAGCTAGGCAACTCCCATACAAAAATAGGGTTTTCCTTTTTGCCTAGGTAGTGTGGCTCATACCTGTAATCCCAGTGCTTTGAGAGGCCAAGACAGAGAATTGCTTGAAGCCCAGCTTAAGACAAGCCTGGGCAACATAGTGAGACCCTATCTCTACAAAATAAATAAATAAAATTGCCAGGCATGGTAGCATGCACCTGTAGTCCTAGCTACCCAGGAGGCTGAGGTGGAGGATCACTTGGGCCCAGGAGTTTAAGGCTGTAGTGAGCTATGATTGTGCCACAGTACTCCAGCCTGAGTAACAGAGCAAGATCCTGGCTTTGAGAAAAAAAAATGATTTATTTTTTATATTAGTACCTCACCTGAAAAGTCCTGGAGAACCTAGTACCTATCAGAAGTTTGATCTCACTCTCATCTTCAATGCCATTTCTTTGGCAAACCAGCAGAAAGCAGAGTCAGCAAGTAAAAGAGCAGAACTTGTTAGCTGCACAACACATCTTGAGAGATTATTTCTCTAGCATATTGCCCCTAAGAGAAACAGGGAACACTTATTTTCTGACAGGGCATTACTGAGCAATCCGCTTGCATGAAACTTACAGTTTGCATTTTAGAGTAATCCACAACACCAACTTCACACTGGGATCAAGAGAGAAGATAACTACAGGAAGACATATTCAAAGAAACCTCCTAGAAAGCAGTTTGGCCTTGTTTTTCATTTGTTTGTTTGTTTCTGACCATGTTAAAATCATTTCTCAATAACTAGACAAAGAATTCAGGAGAACCTCATGTACTAGTTAGCTCTTCCCTGGTTGTAAATGGAATTGAAATGTTCAATGTATTCTTGGTGCTTCAGTGGTTTAAGAAAAGCCATCTAGCTAGAAAATATCACATGAACAAACTCCAGTTCAAGTCTTGGGTGGAAGAAGGAGCACAAGAGTAAGGTCAAGTGCTAAAACATGGTGGAAACAGGGCTCTGGAAAGCCCAAAGATTTCTCCTCTCATCTCTAACACTAATCATGGGAGCAATATCTGGAGATCACTGTGTGATCTTCCCCATGTGGCTGAAAATGCTTCTCCAAATGTTTCTCAGGAAACATCTAGATAATTCATGTTTACATAAATCATCTCCTTTCAGAGACTTTAGTCTGCAATAACAAAGAACAAGGAACCTTATATTGTATTTCCCTTTCTGCCCCAGCAGTTACTATGGGCAACATCATACTTTGTAAAATATTCTTCTTAAGTGATGCCCTGAGCCAAATTCTGATTGTGTAGAAATATATATATATATATAAAATGTATATATGTGTGTGTGTGTGTGTGTGTGTGTGTGTGTGTGTGTGTGTATATATATATATGCCAGGCACGGTGGCTCACACCTGTAATCCCAGCACTTTGGGAGGCTGAGGTGGGTGGATCATGAGGTCAGGAGTTCAAGACCAGCCTGGGTATATAGTTATACCTATTATCTTGACTGCCATAAAACTGGGGTGTGTGTGTGCGGCGGGGGGGTTCACAATGCCAACTAATGGTAAACACTTAATTTTTAGAAACATAGCATCTTTTTATTATTACAAGGTACTGAGATTCATGATCCTAGAGTGGGAAAAAATAATAGTTGTAGATGATTATTAATGGATCCAGAGCAGACTTCTTACCAGTATCTTGAGGGTAAAAACAAGATAGATATGTGATATATAGCAGTAAGCCCTCCTTGTCATGGGGGATTCATTCCAAACCCCCCCAGGAGAGGCCTGCATTCTCTAATAGTTCCGAACCCAATTGCTGTCAGTTGGAACATGTTTCTGTGCACATCTTCCATCCAGAAATGTAATGCCTTTTCCATCCTAACTAAGCACTTACCATACACTGTGGCCAAAATTTTGCAGTTTGAGATGCAACAACAAAACTAGCTTAAAATTCTTTTTTCTTCTTCACAATTTCACATACAGAGGATTTGTTCTAGCCAGGTGCAGTGGCTCATGCCTGTAATCCCAGCACTTTGGGAGGCTGAGGTGGGTGGATCATGAGGTACAGAGATTGAGACCATCCTGACCAACATGGTTGAAATCCCGTCTCTACTAAAAACATACAATAATGAGCTGGGTGTGGTGGCACATGTCTATAGTCCCAGCTACTCAGGAGGCTGAGGCAGGAGAATTGCTTGAATCCGGGAGGCAAAAGTTGCAGTGAGCCAAGATTGCATCGCTATACTCCAGCCTGGCGCCTGGCAACAAAGCAAGACTCTGTCTCAAAAAAAAAAAAAAAAAAAAAAAAAAAAAAAAAAAAGATTTGTTCTGCTAGGCTCATGCCTGTAATCCCAGCACTTTGAGAGGCCAAGGCAGGCAGATCACTTGAGGTCAAGAGTTTGAGACCAGCCTGGCCAACATGGCAAAAGTCTGTCTCTACAAATAATACACAAATTAGCCAGGTGTGGTGACAGGCACCTGTAATCCCAGCTACTCAGGAGGCTGAAGCAACAGAATCACTTGAACGTGGGAGGCAGAGGCTGCAGCAAGCAGAGATTGTACCACTGCACTCCAGCCTAGGTGACAGAGTGAGATTTCACCTCAAAAAGAAAAAAAAAAAAAAAGATTTGTTCTTACATAGACCTTAGCAACCTCAGCATAAATTTATTTCTTATTAACTCAAGAACTTTCACCCTTTCACTTAAAGGAAGCACTTTACGGCTTCTTTTGGCATATCCAAATTGCCAGCAACACTACTCTTGTGTTTTGGGGCCATTATTAACTAAAATAAGGGTTACTTGAACACAAGCACTGTGATCGTGCAATAGATAACTGAGAAGGCTACTAAGTGACTAAGGGAAGGGCATCGTAGACATTCATGATGCTGAATAAAGGGAGGATTCCCAGCCAGGGTGGGCCAGAGCTTGACAGTTTGAGGTCTCATTATGCTACTCATAATAGTACACAATTTAAAATTAATGAATTGTTTATTTCTGGAATTTTGGATTTCATATTCTGGACCTTGGGTAACTAAAACCACAGAAAGTGGAATTGTAGAAAGCAAAGCTGTGGATAAAAGAGGACTATTGTATAGAAATAGGATTAAGACAAAAAGACAAAACTGTTCAGCATCTATCATGTTCCTCCTTTGCTTTTCATTTCGTATGTGAGGAAGATTACTGTGAGGTTTAATGTAGAAATCTACTAAACCAATGACATAACCATTCCCAAGAGTACAGCTACTCTCTGCTGTGAGTTGTATGTATCTGTGGGAGACTTAATTTCATGCAAATGTATCCTTGTTTCTCAGCATAATTCTGATGCTTCCCCCCAACTACCCAGCAGGTGAGTGGTCAGTGAACATGCCATCAATGTAATATTAGCCTAAGCAAAGCAGAAAGGTAAATTAATATATTACAAGAGTCAGAATACATTGATATTAGCTTTCAGATATAATCTGAGGAAGACTGCAAGAATTTGGGACAGGATGCCTTATAGTTAGGTAGAACAAAAGCAAGACTAGATGTCAAGAGGCTGGATCCCTATCTTACCTTATTTACCTCAGAGCTTTTGACAGCAGTTATTTTATCATCCTGGGCTTCAGGGTCTTCGTCTATAACATTAGAGTATGGACTACCATTAGAAGTGACTTGAAACTTTATTATTATTCTACATGTATCATGGAATTAAGACACTTCCTGAAATTCTGTTATTATTCTATATTTATCACGGAATTAATACACTTTCTATACAGCTCCATCCCTGAGGATTCGGCAGTTTATAACTTTCTGAAGTGAACAGTTACAAAATTTAAAGATGACAGTTTTGAAGGGACATAGAATATCTCCTTAGCCTTTAAACTATCAAAATACATCTCTTTGGGAGTGGGAGGGATTTATGAAGTTTCAGTGCTTCCTGGCAGAGGTGAAGCTTCTTGCTTTGCCCAGCATCAGCAAGCAAACTACACTAATTTGTCTTATATTTGACTAACACTGATTTTTCTAATTTTTCCCTGTTCGACCCTTCAATTTGTAAAAACGTGTTTAACTGTTCTGCTGCTGCTGCTTTTGCCTGCTTTGGTTGCTGCATATACAGGTGAAGATCTGGAAAGAAACGATGGATCTACAGAAAAACCCTACTTCATAACCCCTAACCTGCACGGAATTCTGATCAAGAAGCAACTAGTTCCCCAGAAGCAGAAAGAGTAGAAAAGCTCCAAACAGTGTCACTCATATTTAAGTAGAAGTTGTGTAAATTTGGTTGATTGTAATTTGAAAATGTTGCTTTTGAGTAATGTGAAATTTCTGTGCTTAATTCTAAGAAGTCAGCACCTGGTACCACCTGAGGTGTCAGGCATTTGATGACATTAGCTGCTGTCTACTTTATAGACTGTGTTCCCAACTAAAGATCAAAATGTTAATGTCAAACGTTTTTTAAAATCTGTAGCTGAGAGTGTTTTAATAACTTTTATAACTCAGTGTGCTGTTTCCATTGCGGCACTTTGATAGCCTTTCTTTTTATAAGTGTATATTTGTAAAGGATATTCAGGCAATTTTTGAAAACACTATAAATGTGTAATTTATTAGCCATAAAATATTGATTTATAGTTAACCAGCATATGGTACTAAATTTGTAAATATGGTGCTATGGTTATATTTATACTGTTCAAGCTGGTGGACAACTCTCTAAACTGTGATTAAACTTGTATTAATGGTTCCCTAGGAAGTATATTTCAGTGAGTCAAGTCCATAACAAACATAGATGTTAATGTTATATAGGTTCTACAGAGAGCATTACTGGGTAAAAAGTACTGTGGAACCTTCATAGCGCATTCTGTTTCATTGGAATGATGTTTATATTGAAGTCCAATCTGAGTTCTGGAGTGTCATTTCCAACAACATGAACCTCTGTCCACAGTGAAAATGTTCTGAACAAACTGAAATTGCTACATAACTCATGCCTTTTGTCTTTAACCCAAATTTCCTATTTCCACTATATAGAAAACCAGTATGAATTTGTTTCAGAAGAATGATTATATCTTTTCATGAGCATACCTGTATTTCTAGATTAAAGAGATTGTGTGGCTTTGTTCCACAAAAGGCTTAATTTTGTCTCAACTTTCAGCAAGGAAAGAGAAAAGTAAGACACTTCAGATTTTACCCTAAGGAAATATACTGTCGGCCCTCACCATCCTTTATTCGAGGCTTACTGCAGGTTAGGAACTCTCCCTGCAGGGCTTAGGAGGAAGGTTATGCCCACCTGCCACTCCTGCTGGCCAGAGGTTTCTGGTAGTCATGCCTAAGTTTTGAATGACAGAACAAAGCATGAATCAGACACACACCTTGCTTAGCCATCCCCTGTGTGCGATGCATATGATGTGGTTAATGGTGCAAAAATGCATCCCAAAAGGAGCATTGAATCAATTTGTATCTTCTTGGCTTTTACCTTAAGCTTATGTATAAGGATTATGTATGTATTGACAGAAAGGAACATGTCAATCTAACATGTTGCTCTGAATATCACCCATGTTTCCAAGAAAAGATTCAGAAATGTATTATTGTGTTATAGATTGATATAAATACTTATTATCTTCAAGTGTAGAAACCTAGATTTAAATTGACTCTATGGCAGATTAATTACTAGCAATAAGCCAATGAATAGGGAAGACTTTTAATATGTAATGCTGGTGGCTTACATTCTTGAGATTATTGTATTCAAAAGTGTCGCCTGGCTTCATATTTTGGCAAACAGCCTTCTACATTCTTATTCTCCTTGAAGCATAAGGCAGAGAATAATGACAACTTCTCTATCTAGATTATTATTATTTTGTTTTTCAACAAGACAAGGGCCACAACAAAGAACTAGTAGAATAGTGACCTCTACCTGAGAATTTGTTATAACTATAGATGTCTGTGCTCTGCCCAGGAGATTCTGATATATTGTGATTTGATATGAGCCACAATGTGAATTATTATAAAGTTCTCTAGCTGATTCTGATATATATAAAAGTTGAAAAATTGGCCAGCTGCAGTGGCTCACACCTGTAATCCCAGCACTTTGGGAGTCTGAGCTGGACAGATTGCTTGAGACTAGGAGTTCTAGACTAGCCTAGGTAACATGGTGAACCCCCATCTTTATTAAAAATATAAAAATTAGCCAACTTTGCTGGCACACACCTGTAGTCTCAGCTACTCAGGAAGCTGAAACGTGAGGGTTTCTTGAGCCAAAGAAGTCAAGGCTGCAGTTAACTATGATCATGCCACTGCATTCCAGCCTGGGTGACAGAGCAAAACTGTCTCAAAAAAAAAAAAAAAAAAAGTTGAAAAATCACTTGAATAAAACATAAATCAATACATGAAAGTAGTTGCCAATTTATATTATGGGCTAATATCTAGTCAGAAAAATATTCTCCATTTACTACTTATTTGTGTAATTCAAATATGTAGAATAAAAACGAGCATTGTTTTTGAGAAGATATTTGCAAGCCATTTTCTTAGAAAGCAAACTATTAACTGTGAAAAAACAGGGCAATATTCCTCAAAACTTGCAGTCAATGGGCTTGAAATCTGAAATTTCACAATGTTTATTTTTCAAGGCTGTACTATCTAAATTGTTGATGACAAAACAAAATTTTAAACAAAGATAGTAATTTAGAAAGTATATTTTAAAAATGAAGGTGAAAGTTATTTTCTCAATCATGCAACTGAGAGACATGCAATATTGGCAGAATCTGACCTGTTACACAGAATGAAATAATATCTTGCTGACATAACAAGGGCTGATTGTTTTCTCATAACTATGTTTACAGTAACGTTGATGCCAAACTATGCTGTTTTTAAAAAATAAGTATTTTGAATTGCTGTAAAGCAAGTATACAGCAGATGGCGATGTTACTTCTCTTACAGTTCTGCTTTGATATTTAATCTGTACCATTCTTCCTCCTAGTGGAAGATTTAGAAAGACACGATGGTTCTCCTGCAAGACCTTATTACGTGAGTCAACCTCTGCTGAAGATTTTCCAAGAGGAAAATCTACAAACTAAGAAGCAGTAGAAGAGCAAACTGGTCGTCCTACAGCTGTGTTACCTTTTCTCCATCTGCTGTGTCTGTGCAACATTTGTTTCATAAGTGCTTTGTATTTAGCAACACTGTATTCACGACCTTGTTGGCTTGCATTTGCATGTTTTATACCAAAGCTTATACTGTAATACGTGAAGCCATCAGAAGTCGCAAGGGAATTGTTAATAACATAAAACATTTTTATACTAAGATCATTTGTTTTGTAATTCATTTTTAAAAAGTGGCTTGGATGTTTTGAAAATACTACTGAATATGTTAATATTCTTTTAAATCTTAGATTGAAAAATAATACATTATTTAAATTGATAGCTCCTAATATATTTTTTAATTTACAACTAAAAGACTTCTTCTGCAGGGAAAATTGGTTAGCAAAGTGAAATTAAAAATTTTAAAGCTTTTCCCACTCTTGTTGGACAGTAAATCAGTTGAAGGACTGCCCCACTTCAGAGTTAGAATGTTTCCTATTAAACAAATTGCCAATCATCCAGCCGTTACTACTTCGCCCTCTGACAAAGTGCCTTACTGGCTGTTTAATATTACCCAGCTTTTATGGGCAAGTTTACAAACATTGTTTTAAAAAATTTAAAACCTGCAATGTTTAGTTATTAAAACAAGTCTTACTGCATTTGTTTCACTCTTAGCTCACTGATTGGAAAACATTTGTCATTTTGCTCTGTTGGATAACCTCACTATTATAGAATACATTGTGCAGCTAAACAATTTCCCTTGCGCCTAGTGGACATTCATGAATGTGTACTACACGCAAGAAGAAAAAAAAAACAAATCCTGAAAGAACACTTGTCGGGTTTCTGTGTTTTTTTACTAAAAGAGAAGTTTAAAAATGAAATGTTTTCTATGGTAGATCTTTGAAAATACAATAGGTATAATACTGCATTTCTCAGTGTTTTACAAAGATCAGAAAGGGAAAAAGGGAAACTTTACTCCTCGAAAGGGTGCTCATGGATGTCATGTACGGAATAGCTCCCTTTTGAACAATCATTTATTTTCAGCAAAGCCTATTCTATATATGCCATTTCATTTTCTCACCTTTGGTATGAAATAATCAGTTTACTTACAGTATGTTAATTTATTGTGTAACTATAAACAGGAACATAATTTCCAAGTCAGTTTTAAATAATTTGACCAGTACTACTAACTTTTAAGGAAATTAATTCAGTTGGTTACTCAGTGTTACAGAAAGAGTCCATAAAAGTATTCACCCTAAGAATGTCAATCATATAATGATAATTTGTGAAAGCTTTGAGAATCAATCAACAGTAGGTTACTATCAGTTTGTATTATCACATTTGTGTAAATGTGACTTTAGATACTTTTATGCCAAAAATAAACTCACATGAGCACATGACAGTCTGAGCTCTATAATCGGTGTGCTTCTGCTGTGCAGAAATGTTAGAAATGTAATTGTCTAAATATCTTTGATAATTAAAATGTTTAATATTTGATGAAATTTGTTGTTATTGTTTTAAATCGATTTGTTTTTTCTTTTAATAAAGATTTAAATAAGAAATAACTGTGTTTTGATTTATTTAAGCCACAAAAAGATAAAGGCTTTCGTTTTCACAATCCACTATGCTATGACAGTATCTTCTCTGTACAAAATATCTAGATGGAGTTTTAATTTTAATCTAGATTTACCTTTTTTAAATTTCCATTTTTCTCCAGCTGTGGATGGACAAATCAAATAACTAAAACTAATAATTTATACAAAGTAAATAAGTCAAAACTAAATGGATGAGATACTTAAAAAAAAAACTCAAACAGCCTAAATTAGGCAGTTGTTTTTTGTTTTTATTTGCCAAAGCTTTGCTCAGTCCTTCATTTGGTTTTGTCAAAATTTATAGGTGGAAATTGTCATTATTTTCTAGGCAGGTATACATTTAGAGGCCCTGAAGAATGTGAACACCAATTAATAGTAGTTTCCTAAAGCAAGATTAAACATACCTATCACTGATTTATCTTAAGCTAAATTTTAAAACAAATATATTGGTGTCTTTTCTTAGATTGAATTATATGTTAAATCTTCAAAATTAATTTTTCATTAAAATTTATTTATTTATTTTAGATGGAGCCATTCTCTGTCTCCCAGGCTGAAGTGCAGTGCGGGATTGACACTCACTGCAGCCTCCACCTCCTGGGTTCAAGCTGTTCTCCTGCCTCAGCCTCCCAAGTAGCTGGGACTACAGGCACCTGCCACCATGCCTGGCTAATTTTTGTATTTTTAGAAGAGATGGGGTTTTACCATGTTGGCCAGTCTAGTCTTGAACTCCTGAACTCAGGTGAGCTGCCCACCTTGGCTTCCCAAAGTGCTGGGATTCCAGGCATAGGCCACTGAGCTTGCCCCTAAAATTTAAGGGGTTTCATTCAATAAAAACATTGAACAATGATCTTGCAGTTTTCAGTGTTCTTTTAAAATAAGAACATGTTAATAAGACAATATGAAAATATTTTATTAATATAGCTGATTCTTTTCTTATTTGAAATAAAAATACTTTTTATATTTTTCCAGAAGAAAACCAAGTACTTTTTTTACGTCTTAATCACTACTATTTTACATGATAAAGCACTCATGTTGGTAAATAAATGATATATGATTGTGCAATGATTAATTTGGCTTTTTCTATGTGCCTAAAAAGCTTAAAAAGAGTTAGTGTGTCCATATAATAAAATCACACCATGAAAGGTTCTATGGGATCATCAGGGACATTGTGATTATTACTTAAACTGATATTGGCAAACAGGCTCTATGTAACAATTTCTCATTTTTCTTTTTTATATACAGCTGACCAGCACTCATTCCAATGTATGTTCTTTCACTTTTACAAGTGGTGCCTCAGGAAATTACTCTTAAACTCTATCCAGGCATAACAATTATCTCCCATATTATCTGGTTCTGGATTGAGGAACATGGTTTATAAATCAGTTTTTGTTGGCAAAAGATATGGGGACAAATTTGAACTGAAATCATTATTGCAGACCATAGTATATGAAATGACATCTTAACGTTTTTTCCAGTTTCTTGCAAATGTTAACCTTAGATGTCTGCAAATGATTGTTTTATAATAAGATATAGATATATGATTATAAGAACACAATTCAATAAATCATTAATGAAAAAATCAATATAGCAGATGCATGTTCCATTGATATTAACAACTTTGTGTCTTATAATCTAATTCTCATTATCTAGGTCTAACGAAGTAAATAAAAACAAATATATATGGCTATATATGGCAGAAAAATATATATATTTGATTTTTTTATTTATTTGAAAATTATTATTTCAAAGCTACTTCCTATATTAAGGCTATAATGGGCATTAAAGACATTTATCTCAGGACCTAGCTGAGTTACTTCTGGTTGTTAGTGAATCAATCATCATCCAGAAAACAGAGCCAACCCCCATTAAAACGAATGTGAATTCATTCATTCATGGATATTGAGTATCATTTATTCAAGGCTTAAAACAACAGAATGATGTCACCATCATGGACCCTATTAAAATGTATCAGGTCAAACTAACTGCCCTTTCCCCCATTTACAATTTTACAATTGCTTGGAATGAAAGGCAGCCAAAATGTGTAGAATCTGGCAACATCTTCCGTCATGATTTCTGCACTGGGGAAATGGGGGCTGTTATGTGATAAATTTAAAAGCAAGCAATTCAGTTTTACTATTTGAAGTCACTAGCTTTATTTTCTTTAAATTTAATTCCTTGGTTTTCTTTTTCTTTTGTGTTTACTGTATGAATAAGAATAATTTAAGCAAGTGGGAAAATTGTGAATGTGAGTAAAACACCCTTCTACCACTGGCTCCAAAATGTGATATATCTTCATCTTATGTCCCTTTGCAGTTACAGAGCATGGTATGTTAACAAGGGTGGGAAAGGCTTATCAAAAGAGGAAGATGTTTTCATTCTACATATAAATTAATGTGGAGCCTGAACTTGGTCCATTTTACAGTAACCTTGGAATCTCCACATTCTTTTAGGCAGATGAATGTGCACTGCTGCATGTGTATCTGAACAGAAAGAAGGAAATGAAGGTAGGATGTTGGGAAAAGCATTGCTATCCAAGGAAAAACTGGAAAACCTAAAACACAAAAATTTCTAGTGGAATCAAATAAGGCAATGCTACAGGAAGTGGGGTGCCTTCTGAATGCAATTCATAAATCTATTGAAAAACTCAATAGCAAATCATAAGCTAGTAATTAAGCAAATAAAAATATTTTTCCATTCTCTAATAAATAGCATTGAAACCAACTGTGTTACAACGAAACTAATCAAATGCTTATTTACATTCAGCCTAAACAAATAAACAAAAAGAATGATGTCCCAATATGATTTATGACTAAGGGATTAAAAAACATCTGCCCCTTTTTCACAGCACTTGTGCACATTAGCCAAAGCTTTGCTGTCATGATGAGTTTGTGTTTTTTCCTCTCTTTCCTCTCAACACAAAGATGAATTCTTTGTCAGATCTTCCCTGTCATTTCCTTCCCTCCAACTCAATCTATTATTTCATTTTCCCCTGCTTAAAAAATCTGCATTTATAATAAGATATTTGGGAGGAAACGGAGGTAGAAGAAAAAACAATTATGAAGAGGAAGACTTCAACCAGCAGGTTGGTTTGTGCTATGGACTAGCATATCCACAGAATGAGTCATGAACCATGCTAGGGCATAAGGAAAGACAAATGCCAGAGTCTGGCAGAGGAGCTTTCCAGAATCATGCTGTTACTCTGCCAGCACAAGCAAGGTGTTAAACTGCTCAGAGGCTTCCTCAACTGACAACTGAAGCAAAGCCCCTCCTCACAGTGCTGTTACCTCAAGGTAACATGAAAGTGAGCATCATATCCATTAATGAAGACTGGTACATAGATTTGGGCAATGCCTGTTAGTCATTAACAGTGACATTCTCTTGACTGAGGACTTTCAGCACCTGGACTTTACCACTCCTTTTCTACCCCAGTGGAAAGTCTATTTTGGCCTCTCTGGGAAGCTGGTGAAGGGCATCACAGTACTGGAAGAATCTTCCCTCCCTGCACCCAAGCCAGAGTAAATGAGTCTAGGTGACTCTCCTGTCTTCTCTAGAGCTTCATTCCAAATCCCACATGAGACTTCTTTAACATAGCTTGAATTCTTGGGTCACTGATGACAGACTCTTTCTGAGTAGCCAAGAGGAACTTCACTGAGATTTTAGCTCTCCTGTCTCATGATTCCTCACCATTACCTTTCTCTTAAATCCTGGCATTAAGCCAGGATTGTAAAGTTGGCAAACTGGATGGCATTTCTAGAGTTCCTTAACCTTTACTTGTAATCTAAATAATGCTGGAAACAGAGTCACAGTTACATTTAATGTTTCATAACTAGATGAGCATAGCCTTCAAAATTAAGGCCACAGATCTGTACCTGGTTAATCTGAAAGAGGTTTTTCTCTTCAGCCCTGCTCCATGAGTTTGTGTAGGTCAGTGGAAAGAGTTTTTACATTCTGTTTCTCTACATTGGGTTGTAGACAGGAAACTCCTGAAAACGGTAGGCTTCAAGTTTGTCTAGAGGACTATTTCCAGCCTAATAGTTGAGGCTCCTGTTTTTCTGAGGCAGAACCAGAGAGAGGCCTTACCTGTCTTAAATAAAATCAGTAAAGAATAAACTATGTTTAAAAGCAATATGCCTTTTCTTTTAGTGAGTCCTAAATTAGCTTTTAGTGACCTCAAAAGAAAGAAGAAAGAAGTGGCTAGAAGCTATTTTATGTCATATTATTTAAATAACTAAAGATAGACAAATTATTTTGCCATCTATAACACATAAGTTGAATCATCACTGTGGTTTTGGTAGGTGAGGTAAGAGAAATCAAATTTAAAATTTTGATTTTAATCAAATTAAATCAAAAGAACAAAGTTAGAGATTTTTGGAACAACTATATTTTTTATATAGCTTCTTGGAGCATCAGGGTATATTTAGAATGCTAATTTTAGCACTTTAAGTGGTAGAAGTAGAGAATATCTGAGCACTGATTATATTTCCCAGTTCATATAAAAAAGTAAATGTTAAGTTAATGGATCAAAACATTTCTGATACAAAACATACCAAATCTTAACCAAAAAAGTTTCTCCATTTTCCTAATTATTACTTTAAAATTAAATTATTTCATAAATTGTTAAATTTACCCTTTTTACAAATTGTTTAATTTTTGCTGCTATTAGAAACTTTTAAAAATAATTTTGGGTAGATCCAAGATGGCCAATTAGGAGCAGCTCAGGATTGCAGCTCCCAGTGAAAGCACAGAGGGTGAGTGGATGCTGCATTTCCAGATGGATTTTTATTGCCCACAGACCAGGAGACTCTTAGGCAGAGGAGACCCATGGGTCACCAGCGCAGCTGTTTTGGCCTGCACCCCAGCGCAGCAGTTCTCTGTACAAAATACACTGGTCTGGGTGCCCTTTTAGGAAGGCGATTGGAGCTCCAGGAAGGCAGAGTTGCCCATTCATCTGATTAAGAAGGGGACTGAAA